TATGACTGATTCATACCCTGTATGACTGATTCATACCCTGTATGACTTGATGAAAGGTGTCTTTACTTAGTGGTTATCACTCATTAATTAAAATTGAACTCAAAAGGCTTAAAAATGTAATCAATTTTGTAAAAATATTAAATCTTGCTTTTCTTTTCTTTCTTCTTTTAAAGCCTTAGGTGGTTTTTAAGTGTTAACATTTCTAATTACTCTTCATCTTTTTTGTTCAATATTTTAAAACGAAGCTCTTGCTAGAAGGAACTAAAATTGTTACATTTTATTGGTCAGTCATTACTGTAATATAAAGGCATACATTAACTTTTTTTTTTTTTTTTTTTTTACACTAATGCAGCAGGTTTTGCCCAAACAACTTAAGTTGAGTTAGTGCAGCAATTTATAGAACAAATAAAAGTTTTTTTGTTTTTTTTTATTATAATTTTATTCAAGTTCCAACCACAATCCTGTTCAAATAAATGCAGCTTTGCAGGGCGGTGGATAAAGTTATAACACGTTTTGTTTTAATGTGTCTTTACACATTTGTTATTAAGTTACAGACCTTTTCTAGAAATGCACAAATCACTTATTTTAGCAAAGGTATTTCATTAATTGATTTTTAATTTTAAAGGGACAATTGTTAAGTATTAACAAATACCATACACTCTTAACGTTTATAGCTTAGGCTAATTTGCATTGCATGTCTCCAGATGGGCTTTAAGCAACTAAAGGTTTACAATACAATTCAAAAAGAACAGTTTAGATAATGCATAAAACAATTAAAATAAAGCCCAGTAAACTAAACTGGCCTCCTTCAGAAACTGCTTCATCTAAAATTATTCCATACATAAATCAATTTTCAATCTGAATGTATGAAATCCACATATTAGTCCCTCATTTTCACAAGGAAGTTTTACAAAAAAAAACAGAACCCAACAGATCCCACTGTGATCCACGAGTGTCTGAGCACGTGAATCTGAGCGGAACCAGAAGGTCTGTGAAGACCTGGAGTTTGTCCATTTAAGCACATTTTAAACAAATGTATAAAATCAGAAAATCTAGTCAAAATTTTTAAAATTCCCCACATCAAGTTTCTTAAAATGACGGTGAAGGCCTGATGGTTGGAGCTGCTGCTGCTTGAGATCTAAGACGTTACACATTAACCTAAATAAAATGAGCAGTGAGTGCACGAAACTATAAAATGCATAAACTTATATATCTTATTACCGTACTTACAGCTACACACTTTTTTTAAATTACTTGTGAAACGTGGTGATAAATCTTAAAAGGAGCGTCCTAATCTGTTTTTAGAGATTCTGAGCGGGTTTCCTCCAGATAAATATTAAGATGAGCAATCTTTTTTTTTTTTTTTTTTTTTTTGCAACAATGGCACTTTTAAACCTCTAAAGGACAAAGTTTACACCGTTTCAATAAACGACACTCTTCGACAAAAGATGACCTGTTTTTTTGTTTTATGTCAAACCAAACTATTCCCTTTTTTATTTCTCTTTTTGTTCACTTGTCAGCAGTTTTTGCAGCTTTAAAGGTTTTCCCACGATGGTGTGACTAGCTGCTGGTCTCAGCGTGTTTTTTGTGGTGAGCTGTGGGATCTGCACACGTCAACATGTTTTCTGTTGGATTGTTTAAGTATCGCCCGCACTCAATATCAGGTGGGCCTTATTTATTTCTAGATATTCAGGTATTTAATTTGAAATTCTCAATAACATTACCAGAAACATTTGTGCTAATGTTACAACGGTAACAACAGAGTAATTTTGGGGGAAATGGATATAAATTGAATTAATTTAGCTTTTTTTGTTTGAGTACAGTAGTCCCTCGCTACTTCGCGGTTCGTTCTTCGCAGACTCGCTCTATCGCGGTTTTTCTAAATAAGATTGGACATGACACCAGGGGCGATGCTAGAATCTGCCCTTTAGGGGTGCTCAGCCCTCAATGCTGACAATGGCTCTTGGCTTAAACAATGTGGTGGCCATTGGCGTCAGAAGCATTTATAATGTGGGGGTGGGGCGTGTCTGGAGGTCCTCCCCCAGAATATTTTGAATAAAGTAGATGCTATTTCCTGCGTTCTGGTGTATTTTAATGGGTTTTTAAACATCTACGTTTACCTCCAATAGGTAAACACTTGATTCAATAACTATTCTAGAGTTAATGGCACAACAAGAATTAGCGCTAAGCTAGCAGCGTGCAATACAGCCGTGCTAGCTAAGATGCTACAGACATTACACAACCTGATAAATGCTTTGTATAAAATCAGTTTAATGTTAACTGATCATAACAAACAAAGACTAAACTTATGCAAGCAGAAGTTGCAACATATCTACATTTAAAACACGCAAAACAAAACACAACTAGCTTTTGAGATTTAACCATTAACCATACGTGCAGTTACCTTCGTACAGACGAACATTCAACAGGATTCAAGGTTCTTTATTTGTCATACACACCACATGTGGTACATGTGATGGAAGGAAATTGTGTACACAGGGTCCTAGTTACATCCAACAAAAGTATTAAATGTAAAAGAAAAACAATTCTAAGATCTAAGGGGGAAAAAAGTGGTACTTCCTGTTTATCACTGTTGTATTCAGCTGCTCATGAGGTCGGCCGCGGGGCTTTTTCATCTTTTATGTTTTTTCAGACTTAGTTTAGATTTTGGAAATTGAATAAACTTCCTGCTGCAGCTGATCAGCTGTTCACAGTGAAGCTCGGAGAAGTGGGCGTGGCCAAGAGCGCTTGCAGGTGGCAAAGAGCAGAGGAGGCAGGGAGCTGAAATCATGACATGCTGTGCTCTTTTGAAGCGTGTCAAGTTTAGAATATTGCAAGAGTGTGGGAAGGATTTAAAACACCTTAATATATATCTATATAAATTACAAAATAAACTACTACTTGTACTGCTTGTACTACTATTCCTACTTTGCGTTTTTTTTACTTATCGCGGGTCTTCAGGTTACGGATCCCCTCCTATAAAAGAGGGACTACTACTGTAAATTTTAATTTTGGGAGTTTTCCATCAAAAATCTGAAGAAGAAAAAAAATCTGTTTTATGTTCTTTGATCAAGTTGACGTTTGTTGCAAACACAAAATTAAAGATTCATCTTTTCATCTATATTTTTAAGCAGAGTCCGTCCACAAGTCGTGACTGCAGCATCACAGAAGAACTTTACTGTGTGAATGAAGCTTTCACTCTATTGTGATCCATTTTTCTTCAGTATGTTTTCCAGCATCTTTCTCGTCCCGTAGTTTTCAAGCTATTTCAACAAATCATAAATCAAAATGTTCAGTTCAGGACAATCCTGCTATGACTTTTGGTAATGGTGCAACTTTAGCTTTTTGAAATATTTAGCCTTTTCGGCCATTTTTTTTTCCTGATAGGAAATGAACTGAGCTCGTTTTACATCCTTCAAATCTTTAGATCTGTTTACAACCTTTTACTGCGCTTCACATTTAGTTCTGGTTCAGCTGCTTTCAGCTTCCTTGTGCAAAATGAAACATTTTTCAGCTATTTCAGCTGGGGGTTTTGTTTCAGCTGTTTAGTGCTCCTTTCAGTTTCTTTCTGCTAACTACATTATTTGTGCTTCTTCTAACTTTCTGCTAATTTCAGCTTACTTTGCTCCTTTCAGCTATTTTTTGCAAGTTTAAGCTTTTTCTGCTATTTCAGCAACTGATAAGTTGTTTTATGCTAATTTTAACTTTTTTCATGTAATTTCACATTTGTTGCACTCCAACTTTTCTCAGTCAAATTCAGAAAAAACGTGCACTCTCCACTTCTTGTATTTTCAAATTCTTTTTGCTTTTTAAGCTACTTTTCAGCTGTTTATTTTTTATTTTTTTATTTTTTTGTGGCTAATTTCAGCTTTTTCAGACAATTTCCACTTTTTTGTGCTCATTTCTGCTTCTTTCAGCTTAATTGGGCAAACGTGTTTTTTCTACCTCTGCTAATTTAAGCTTACAGCTAGATTTTAGCATTTTTAGCTAATTTTAGCTGTTTTAAGATAGTCTTTTGTGGTAATTTCTGCTACTTTCTGAATAATTAACTTATTTCTGCTAATTTCAACTTGTTATGCTCCTTTCAGCATTTTCTGCTATTTCAGTTACCATTTAGCTATTTTATGCTAATTTTAGCTTTTGTAGCTAATTCCACATTTTTTAGCTCATTTCAGCTCTTTCCACTACCTTCTGATAGTTAATCTTAACTTTTCAGGTCCTTTTTAGCTTTTATTTTTTATTTTTTTTACCAATTTCAGCTATTTTTAGATTTCCTAATTTTCGTGCTCATTTCTGCTTCCTTGAACCTAATTCAGCAAATATGTGTTCTTTCTGCTTTCTTCTGCTAATTTAGGCTTGTTCTTCCATTTCAGCTACATTTCAGCATGTTTTTAGCTAATTTCAGCTGTTTTTCAGCAAGTTCTTCAGCAATAAGCATTTACACTGCATTTTCGCAAGAAATGCGATTTCTCTAGTTCTTGTCTGTTCGTGTGTTTGCGTTTAGATCGCAACAACATCCAGCATGCCGGTGTTCAGTACATCCTGGACTCTGTGGTGGACCAGCTGCTGAAGAATCCAGACAGGAGGTTCATCTACGTTGAGACGGCTTTCTTCTACCGCTGGTGGAAGCAGCAGAGCTCCAGCATGCAGCAGACGGTCACACAGCTGGTTAACGAAGGTGCGTGAACCACACGACTGATTTAACTGAGTGTTTCAGTGGTCCTGACCGATCTCCTGATTTTCCAGGCCGGCTCGAGTTCGTAAATGGCGGCTGGTGTATGAGCGACGAGGCCACCACCCACTACAGCGCCGTCATCGACCAGATGACCGAAGGCCTGAGGTTCCTCAACGAGACCTTTGGAGTCTGTGGTCGTCCTCGTGTTGCCTGGCACATCGACCCCTTTGGACACGCACGTGAACATGCCTCCATTTTTGCTCAGGTAGCTTAATTCTAACAGAACTGATCAGCAACTAAATAACCAAAATAAATAAACGTGCACATAAATATCAACATAAAATGAATCCTGCAATCAGCAAATGTGTTGTTACATTTCAATAAATTTAGAGATTTATTTCATGGTGGTGCAGTAGAGCTGCTGCTTCTCATTGAGAAGGTCGCTGGATTGAATCCCGGCCGGAGACATTTCTGCGTGGAGTTTGCATGTTCTCTTCGTGCATGCGGGGTTTTCTCCAGGTACTCTGGTTTCCTCCTACAGATCAAAAACATGCATATTAGGCTGATTGGTAACTTTAAATTGTCTCTGGGTGAGTGAGAGAGTGAATGTTTGTTTGTCTTATTTGTCTCTGTGATGGACTGGAGACCTGTCCTGTCTCGTCCCTCGCTCAGTGATTGCTGGATGTGGGTCCCTTCAAACCAGAAAGAGAGAACCAGTTAAAGATGATAAAAGTATGGATGGAATTTAAAAAAAAATTTTTTGACCTTCTTTAAAAAAAATATACTGAGATTTAAGAAGTGGAACTAAAATGTGCATTTATTAAAACATTTTGAGTTTAATTTTTATAATATGAGTAGAATAAATGCTTATTACATCACTTTTTTTTAACAAAAAGGGAATATACAGATTTAAAAAAAAGGAATACAGTGAACCCTCATTTTTCACGGGGGTTACGTTCCAAAAAGAACCCGTGATAGGTGAAATCCGTGAAGTAGTAACCTTTTATTTATATTTTTTTTACAATTATTACACAATGAAATACTCCATAATACATCCAAACCAAAGAACAAACCTTTTAACAGGCCCAAGCATTTGTTTAACAAATAAAAGTACTGTATAAATGTTTTTTACAAATAACTAGTGTACTGGAGAGACTGTTTAGCCAATCAGAATGCAGAACACAATGCACGATGCAAATCCGTGAAGCAGCGAGACCGTGAAAGGTGAACCGCGTTATAGCGAGGGTTCACTGTATACAGAGTCAAAACATTTTATTTTTTATGAAAGCTTCCTATTTCCTGGAGTTGGGCATCGTGTTTGATCCAAACACAGCGTTGTTTTGTTAACGGTCATCCATGAAGTGATGCAGTTCGTCTTGGCTCTGTGTGTCTTTCAGATGGGATACGACGGCCTCTTCTTGGGCCGTCTGGACTACCAGGACCGAAGTCGCAGGATGAAGGAGAAGGAGCAGGAGCTTCTGTGGCGAGCCTCCGACAGCCTCACACCACCGATGGCTGACCTCTTCACTGGTACTAAAACCATCACCGCTGTATTTGTCCACTGATGGATCACTTTAAAACCAGTCTGTGTGAAATAGCATTTTTAACCCTGTGCTTTTTCATTTCCACAAACGGGAATCCTTCCCAACGGCTACAACCCTCCTGAGGGATTTTGTTGGGACCAGCTCTGCACAGACGCACCAATCCGAGACGATCCAGATCTTGAAGACTATAACGTAGAGGATGTGGTGCTGCGCTTCCTTCATGCTGCAAATAGTCAGGTTTGTCACTTTTCTCAGAACAATTTGTTAGACTAAAGTAAATAATGCTACATAATCTACAGAAGCACAGTGGTCTTTAAGAGTAGATCATCATTTCTGTCTTGTTCTCCTCTTGTAAGCCTCAGTTCTACCTCTGTACTCAGGCGTTGGTGTATAAAACCAATCACATCATCATGACCATGGGCTCAGACTTCCAATATGAGAATGCCAACCTGTGGTACAAGAACCTCGACAAGCTGATCCGCTACGTCAACGCCCAGCAGACGAACGGGAGCAACGTGAATGTGCTGTATTCTACTCCGTCCTGCTACCTCCAGGAGCTGCACCGAGCAAACCTGACCTGGTACCATCAGCTTTTACACGAGCCTGTTGGAGCTGCAGTCTTCAGACATTAGCCAGAAGAAGCAAAACTAAAAACTAGAAAGTTCCTGGAGAAACTTTGATGGGGACTGTCAGACTGCTGCAAATTTAAAATTTTGATTTTAACTACCGTGTTTTCCAGCAGACACGTTGCTCTGCCCTATAAGTCGCGTTAGTCCATATTTGTCCATAAACATGTTGCCTTGCCGTATACGTTGCATCTGTTATGTGTCACCGCTGATGCATCGCGTTTGTTACGCGTCACTGCTGACAATCCGGAAATGTGGGCCGAACCCGGAAATATGGGCTGGTGTTGTGCCAAAAACCGATGGGCTGCCTAATGACGGCCACGGGAGCGTGCACAGGAGGACTTTAACAAGAATTAAGATAAACGCCTAAAAACAATTATTTGTTTGCTCGAAATTATAGTAAATGTGTGTTTCAGTCTAACGTTTATTTAATAAATGCACTTTGATGGTCAAATCAGCTGAATTTCAAAAGCCGATACGCGGAAGTAAACGCATGCACGCAACGAGTCGCTGTACAAATTTAACAAGATAAACCCCTAAACAATTATTTGTTTGCTCGAAATTATAGCAAACGTGTGTCTCAGTCTAACATTTGCTTAATAAATGCACTTTGGTCAAATTAGCTGCATTTCACCAGGGCGGTGAAGCTGGTTTGATGTTCGGTTCAAGCAGCAAGCAGAATGAAGGTGGGGATGTATGGCAAGTCGATTGTGTCATTAATAGCTGGTGAAGATTCTCAGTCCTCCAGGACATGGTAAATTCAAAAAAGTTCAAGAAGAAAAACAAAGTATAGTATAATAAATAAAGTCCAGTTGTTTTTGTCTTGAACATTTTTGAATTTGTCATTATAGCCACGTTTACCTATTATATGATACAACATTATGCCATACATTTACTACTATTCTGCTGCCAACAAGTGGCTGAAAGTGATACTGCTCAATTTTTTTTCAGTCAGAATGAATGAAAACGGTCATATCTCAGCCAAAAATTGGTTTATAAATATGGGAAAAAATCCATAAATATGTCGCTTCGGCCTATAAGTCGCAGGGCATGTAAATTATGCAAAAAAGTGTGACTTATTGGTTGGAAAATACGGTATGTGTTTGGGTTTGCCTCTGTTACCACTATACCAAATTTCAGCTGAATAGCTCTAAAAATGGCCAAGTTATCGTATTTTTTACCTTTTCGTTAAGGCGGCCATCTTAGATTCTTTTTAAATTTTGTATTCAGAATATGATAAACGTCCTCAGCTATTACTGCACAAAATTTTTAGCTCAAAATCTCTAAAATTAGCTGATTTATAGTACTTTTCCTTTTTAGCTCAGGCGGCCATCTTGGTATTTTGATTTGCATTAGGAATGTATGAAAACTTTCTCTCAGCTATGACCAGAGTAAATTTCAGCTCAATATACTAAAGAATGACTGAGTGGTAGCAGTTAGAAGCTGTTGAGTTCTGTCAGACATTTTGAATGAGAAAAATGGCTTCTTTGTTTGCAAATTTCGTCGCCATGGTAACTCGAAATGCCAATAAAAGTAGTAGCGCACATCACAATGCCGAGCCGGTCGTTTTGCTATAAGATTTGTGGGGGTACACATTGTGGTTCGGGCTGCATTAAAGTTGATATAAGAGTAAGAAAATAAAGTTAAGAAACCCAAAGTCTGGTGGATAATAATAGGTGCTGCTGTAGGCAGTCTCCAATAAATGACGAGATGTGTTCATTTTTTTATCTCTGTAACATTATCTTCTCTTTTCAAGGCCTTTGAAGGAAGATGATTTCTTTCCCTACGCAGACAACGCTCACGATTTCTGGACCGGCTACTTCACAAGCCGACCGGCTCTGAAGCGTTACGAGAGGATCAGTAACAGCAACCTCCAGGTACTCCGAGTGTCATTCTGCACTTAGAAGTCTGCATTCATAACCAAAACATTGATTACATATGTGTATTAGATGAGAAATTCTAAACAAGTTTTTTTAACATGTTGTGTGTATTTTTTTCAGGAAGGTTTCAACAACTAGTAAACTAGGTTGATATTTTAATAATAATACATATTCACTTACTATTCCAGTGTATGGAACTGTTTTGGATCATATATCATGCATGTGGTTTATCTTTTCATGCAGTTGGCTCATTGGTGTGTTAACCTGCAGCAAAATACACCACATTGTTTAAAACTTTTTACAATCTACAAGTAAAAATATTGGTCGATGACGCATACGGCCTCAAAGATCCAAAGCTGGATGACTGGGAAGCTTTTGCTACATCAGAGAACTCTTGAGTGAAACATTTTACTGTACTTTCCACCATACACGTTGCACCACCTTATAAGTCGCATCAGTCCAAATATGTCTAATAAAGTGGGAAATAACATAAATAAGTCGCTTCGCCGTATAAGTCGCATCTATTATGCATCACCGATGATGCGTCGCGTTTGTTGTGCGTCACTGCTGACCAACTGGAAATGTGGGCCGGTGTTTTGCCAAAAATTGATGGGCTGCCAAATGGTGGCTGCGGGAGCGTGCACGGGAGGACTTTAACAAGATTAACACTAAAAAACAGTTATTTGTTTGCTCAAAGGTGTATCTCAGTTTAACGTTTCCTTAATAAATGCACTTTAACGGTCATATCAGCTGCATTTCGCCTGGGCGGCACGGTGAAATTTAGCTGATTTGACGTTTGCTCCAGGAGTTCCTGAGCGAGACGAAAGTGGCAGGCTGTGGCAAGCCAAGTGTCTCATTAATAGCCACTTTTACCCATTAATGAGACACTTGGCTATTACTCGAGGGCCCTCTAGTGGCTGAAAATGGTAGTGTTAAATATTTTCCATGTCGGAATGAATGAAATTGTCAGATCTCAGCCAAAAATTGTGTTTATAAATATGGAAAAAAAACGTATATTAGTCGCTTCGATGTGAAGTCGCAAGAAATGCAAATGTATGCAAAAAGGTGTGACTTATACAGTGAAAAATACAGTAATCTGGTTTTACTCTGCCATGCTCATATATCTGTGAAGGTTTTATGTGTTTATCTTTTGTAAACAGACGTGTAACCAGCTGGAGGTACTTGGTGGTCCAACCTCCAGGAAGGGACATTTTGGAAAGGGTGACAGCCAGACTTTGAGTAAGATTTTGATGTCATTATTTCACTAATGACGGATATTTTTATGGCAAAAGGACACCGTTTCCTCTTAAGTAGTCCAGAAGAGAATTTAGTTGTTAATTCCAAAGTTACAGGGGCATTAATGCTAATCCATCCCACTGAGGATGCTGACTGACAGCTGTGTGTGTGTTTGCTGATTTGCAGGAAGAGCCATGGCTGTGGCCCAGCACCATGACGCCGTGTCGGGCACAGAGAAACAACATGTTGCAAATGACTACGCCAGGAAGTTGGCTAATGGCTGGCAACATTGTCAGGTATTTTGAAGATTTATATTACACATACAGTGCCTTGCGAAAGTATTCGGCCCCCTTGAACTTTTCAACCTTTTGCCACATTTCAGGCTTCAAACATAAAGATATAAAATTTAAATTTTTTGTGAAGAATCACCAACAAGTGGGACACAATCGTGAAGTGGAATGAAATTTATTGGATGTGTCGAACTTTTTTTAACAAATAAAAAACTGAAAAGTGGGGCATGCAATATTATTGGGCCCCTTTACTTTCAGTGCAGCAAACTCACTCCAGAAGTTCAGTGAGGATCTATGAATGATCCAATGTTGTCCCAAATGACTGATGATGATAAATAGAAACCACCTGTGTGTAATCAAGTCTCCGTATAAATGCACCTGCTCTGTGATAGTCTCAGGGTTCTGTTCAAAGCGCAGAGAGCATCATGAAGACCAAGGAACACACCAGGCAGGTCCGAGATACTGTTGTGGAAAAGTTTAAAGCCAGATTTGGATACAAAAAGATTTCCCAAACTTTAAACATCCCAAGGATCACTGTGCAGGCAATCATATTGAAATGGAAGGAGTATCAGACCACTGCAAATCTACCAAGACCCGGCCGTCCCTCTAAACTTTCATCTCGAACAAGGAGGAGACTGATCAGAGATGCAGCCAAGAGGCCCATGATCACTCTGGATGAACTGCAGAGATCTACAGCTGAGGCGGGAGAGTCTGTCCATAGGACAACAATCAGTTGTACACTGCACAAATCTGGCCTTTATGGAAGAGTGGCAAGAAGAAAGCCATTTCTCAAAGATCTCCATAAAAAGTGTTGTTTAAAGTTTGTCACAAGCACCTGGGAGACACATCAAACATGTGGAAGAAGGTGCTCTGGTCAGATGAAACCAAAATCCAACTGTTTGGCCACAATGCAAAACGATATGCTTGGCGTAAAAGCAACACAGCTCATCACCCTGAACACACCATCCACACAGTCAAACATGGTGGTGGCAGCATCATGGTTTGGCCTTGCTTTTCGTCAGCAGGGACAGGGAAGATGGTCAGAATTGATGGGAAGACGGATGGGGCCAAATACAGGACCATTCTGGAAGAAAACCTGTTTGAGTCTGCAAGAGACCTGAGACTGGGACGGAGGTTTATCTTCCAACAAGACAATGATCCAAAACATAAAGCCAAATCTACAATGGAATGGTTCACAAATAAACGTATCCAGGTGTTGGAATGGCCAAGTCAAAGTCCAGACCTGAATCCAATCGAGAATCTGTGGAAAGAGCTGAAGACTGCTGTTCACAAACGCTCTCCATCCAACCTCACTGAGCTCGAGCTGTTTTGCAAAGAAGAATAGGCAAGAATTTCAGTCTCTCCATGTTCAAAACTGATAGAGACAAACCCCAAGAGACTTGCAGCTGGAACTGCAGCAAAAGGCGGAGATACAAAGTATTAACGCAAGGGGGCCGAATAATATTGCACACCCCACTTTTCAGTTTTTTATTTGTTAAAAAGGTTTGACACATCCAATAAATTTCATTCCACTTCACGATTGTGTCCCACTTGTTGTTGATTCTTCACAAAATATTAAAACTTTATATTTTTATGTTTGAAGCCTGAAATGTGGCAAAAGGTTGAAAAGTTCAAGGGGGCCGAAAACTTTCACAAGGCACTGTATTTTCCCAGTTACTGTTACATGAAACCCTGTAGTTATTAAACTTTAAATGGCAGTTTTTCCACCGACAGTTTGTTTTGGACCATTACAGGTTTATCTAAAAGTGACTTGGATCTCATCTTTACCCCTCATGATGTAGTTTATCACTTCTTATTGTCCTTTTTTTGTTCGGTCAGGTTTTGGTCAGTAACAGTCTGGCTTCCCTCAGCGGCTCCTCGGCTGAACGAACCTACTGTGACAGCCTCAACATCAGCGTGTGTCCTCTCACAGAGTCCAGCAAAAAGGTGAGAGGAAACGTGCGCAGACAGGATTACTATGAACTCGGTCTTGTTTCTGTAGAGTGGACAGATCTTTTCTCAGCGTGTCACTTTGAAAACAAATGGCATGAGGGTTTATTTTATGCGGACTCGGTTTATTCAGCCTTGATTTATGCTCAGCCTTCCTGTTTGTGTCTCTTCCAGTTCTCAGTCAGCGTGTACAACCCCCTCGCTCAGACGGTCACCTGGCCCGTCCGGCTGCCGGTCAACAGAACAGCTTTCAGAGTAACGGATGCTAAAGGCAGATCTGTGGACTCTCAGGTCTGTGTCAAGTTCTCACATTTTTATTTGTTTTCAAGGTCCCTAACTTTACTTTATTATTAACCATTATTTAACCAGGTAAATCCCAATAGTATAATAGAAAACAGTTTTATCCTTTAATGTTTTTAAATCTTGTGATGTACATCGCTGCAGAGCCTTTCGTCACGCTTTTAAGTGACTCATCCTGTCAATGTTTGTGAAGCATTCACACTATTGTGATCCATTTTTTTTTTTTTTTTTGTATGTTTTTAGGCATCTTTCTCATTCCACGGTTTTTGTGACGTTTCAACAAATGAAAAATCAAAACGTTCAGCTTGTTCAGGACAATCCTGCTGTACCTTTTGGTATTGGTGCAACTTTAGCTTTTTAAAATATTTAGTCTTTTCTGCCACTTTTTTTTTTTTCCTCATATTAAATGAACTGAGCTCATTTTACATCCTTCATATCTTTAGATCTGTTTTCAACCTTTTACTGCTCCGTTCATATTTTGTTCTGGTTCAGCTTCCTTGTGCAAAGTTAAACATTTTTCAGCTACTTTCAGCTGTTTTTTCAGCTGTTTTATGATCCTTTTACATTATTTCTGCTAACTACAACGTTTTTGTGATTCTTAGAACTTCTTTCTGCTAATTTCAGCTTGTTAATGCAAGTTTGGTTTTTTTAGCTACTTTAATGCCGATTTTAACTTTTTCTTCTAATTCCACATTTTTTGCACTCATTTTAACCTTTTTCAGCCTAATTAACCAAAATGTTCTCTCTCCACTTCCTTCTGGTAATTTACCCGTAATCTTCTTTCAGTTCTTTTAGCTACTTTTCAGCTGTTTATTTTGTTGTTGCAATTTTCTCTTTCTTTCAGCCTGATTGGGCAAACATGTTCTTTCTGCTTTCTTCTACTAAATTAAGCTTGCTCTACATTTTCAGCTTACTTAACATTTTTTAGCTAATTTCAGCTGTTTTCAGATAAATTCAAGCTTTTCATGCTAATTTTTTGCTACTTTCAGCCTAATTAACTTCTTTATGCTAATTTCAGCTTGTTATGCTCCATTCAGCTTTTTTCTACTTTCAGCTATTTCAGCATTTTCAACTACTGTTTAGCTCTTTTGATGCTAATTTTTAGCTTTTTCAGCTAATTTCCAAATTTTTGTGCTAATTTCTGCTAATTTAAACCTAATTCAGCAAATATGTTCTTTATGCTTTCTTCTGCTGATTTAGGCTTCTTTTTTTTAATTTCAGCTACATTTCAGCCTGTTTTTAGTTAATCTCGGCTGTTTTTCAGCAAGTTCTTCTGCAATAAGCATTCACACTGCATTTTTGCAGGAAGTACAATTTCTCTCATTTATGCTGCTCCCTCTTTTTGGCCACAATCCTGCAGATATTCTTTGTGTCGTTTGTTCGTAGGAAAATAAAGTTTCTTCTGATTTAAATTCTAAATATAAATACCATCTCTGTTTGTGTTTGAAGGTGGTTCCAGTGTCCAGAGCCACTCAGGGAGTGAGGAGGAACCGTGGCTTCGCCATGAACGAGTTGGTGTTCCAGGTTCAAGCTCCTCCTCTGGGCTACAGCATGTATTCTGTGTCAGTGGTCCAGGATCAGCCTCCACCATCTCCTCCTGAACACAGTGTCCCCACAGAGATCCAAAACAAGGTTCTTACTGTTTACCTCATTATCCTTTATGTATGCATGGATAAATGGGTAGTTGTACCAAAGCTTTACTAAAAAGTCTAAACTCGCAGAAAGATAATATTTAAGTGTATTTGGATTCTTGTTTGATTAGTATCTATGTTCTTTAGTACCTGAAAGCGACCTTTGACCCTGACACTGGCCTCCTAAGCAGCCTCAGCAATCTGGAAACCAAACAGACCATAAAACTATCGCAGAATTTCTATTGGTCAGTTGGTTTTTCTCACAAAACACAACACATCCACCACTGAGAGGCTGCTTTAAATCTTTAGCCAAGCACCCGCCAGTGACTGCTGACATGTATGCTGCACACTTCAGGTACAACGCCAGTGATGGCAACAACAAAGAGAGCGGACAGCCGTCTGGCGCCTACATCTTTAGACCAAACTCTTCCACACCCAACATCATCAGCAAGACGGCCACGGTGGAGAGCTTTCAGGTAGAGAGGGGGCGATGTCACACTGAGCTCAGCAAGTCGGTTATGAAACAGTGAAAAATGATTTCCACTTCTTGTCACTTCAGACATCGGTGGTGCAGGAGGTCAGGCAGTGGTTTGCTCCCTGGGTGTCTCAGGTGGTTCGTCTGTACGCCGACAGCAAAGCTCTGGAGCTGGAGTGGACGGTCGGACCTCTGCCCATTTCGTGAGCGTGATTTTTATCTTGAATACAATAAGTGAGGGGAAATCATCAGAAGCTGTAGTACGATGAGTCTTTCATTGCCATTAATGCGTTTGTTTGCATTTAAATAAAGCATCACTCGTCTCATCCCACTCTCCATTAGGGACGAGCAAGGGAAGGAAGTGATCACTCGTCTGGACACCAACATTCAAACCTCACAGTTTTTCTACACTGACTCCAATGGCAGAGAAGTGCTGCAGAGGAAGTAAGCTAAGCAGCTAAAAATATGTTTCGGCTATTTGAAGATCTGGTGGATGTTACCATAGGATAAACTATAATAAAAAGTTTTATTATAGAACTGTGGGTTTGTTTCCAATAGGAAGGACTTCCGACCAACATGGCAGCTGAAGCAGACCGAGCCCATTGCTGGAAACTACTACCCCATCAACTCTCGCGCGTTTATAAAGGTGGGTGTTTCGAACTAATCATGTTCCGTTTGAACAAGGAACCCGTCGAGCAGAAAAACTCCTCAAATCATGACGTCTTAACGCAGATTTATCGATTATTCAAGGTATTCTTTTCCCTCTAGAAATAGCAGCTAGCCGTAGAATAGTTCTTGTGTCTTGTTCTTTAAGGTTTATAACTTGTTGTTCATTGCACGCCTGTATTCAGGATGACGTGGATCAACTCACAGTGGTGACGGATCGCTCACAAGGAGGAAGCAGCATTCAGAACGGTTCTCTGGAGATCATGGTAAGATGTCAGTTCACGTGGATTCCTTTAGTTTTTAATCTAAAATGTAAATGTTCTTTAAAATAATAACTTCCCATCAAGACTTGATGATTGTATAGAATTTGAGATTGCCCGTATTTGAACTGGACTAAACATTTGAAAAATTGAAACGGACCAGTACTTTCAGGTTTTTATTTGTAATTCCAGCTATTTGAGAGAGATTTGGTGAGAACGTACTGAATCTCACAGAATTTCGTCCCCCCCCCCCCCCCCCAGCTCCATCGCCGGCTGCTGCACGATGATTACCGTGGCGTCGGCGAGCCTCTCGATGAGGCTTCTGAAATTTTCCCAGAGGGGTTGGTAGTCCGCGGTCGCCTCTTGCTCTCGCTTGACCGTCCAGCCAGCGCTGCAGACACACACCGCCCCTTGGCCCAGGAGGTCGTATTCCAGCCACTGCTGACGTTTACCGATGGAGAGCTGACTCCAAACACGCAGCTGGAGGTGGGTGAGGAGGGTCTGTCCTGCTGACATCACAACGGTTACATTCCTTTTTCTATAGTCTGATGTACCGAGACAGGGAAGTTATCTGGCAAAATGAGTTGGTATTAGAAAATGTTTAGATTTTAAAAGGTTGTGTTTATTCGAAAATAATGTTTGTTTTTTACCTAAAGGATGCACACAAAGCATTTTAGGTAAGAAACATCTGCTGCTGATTCTTGTCTCCAAAAATGAACTCCCTTCTAACAGCTGCAGTGAAGACATATCTTTGGGCTTTTTAGACAAACTTTTGGGGTAGTCATCAAAGTTCATGTAATCCAGGTAAAAAAAAAAATCCATCAAGATTCAATCAGGTCGTCTGGACGGTTTCTTTGTTTTAGATGATTCACCATTCATCCAAAGGACTTCATCAGTCCGAGGAGCCACAACAAACCGAGTGCCGCAAGCAGCACACTCTGTCCACACTAGTGGACAGACCAGTTTGCTGGTGATAAGATGGTTTTGATTTTTGAGCATGAACTTTGATGTTATGAACCACTTCGGCTATGGCTGCCTCAGAGGAGTCGACGGGGGAGAAGGCGGGCCCCAGAAACCACCTCATCACCAGCAAACTGGTTGGCCCACTGTGTGAGTGTGCTGCTTGTGGGACTGGTTTTGTTGCAGCTCCTCGGACTGATGAAGTCCTTTGGACGAAGGACAAAATGTCTCAACGGCAAAAAAAAACAACCCATCCAGATGACCTGACTGAACTTTGTTAGATTTTCTGCTTGGATTATTGAGCATGAACTTTGATCTTGGGTAGTCGTGTGTCGTACAATGTCATCTTTTCAGATTTGTTTGTGTGCGTGTTGTTCTCCAATTAGCTGCAATGCAACAATTTTTCAACAGATCAATCAAAACTTAGTGTCGCTCTTCAAAGCTTTAATGCAAATGCATCACATGAGAATCTTTTTCATTTTTTTTCCCAGTTCTCTGGCCTTCAGGCTGCACTGCCCCCTGCTGTCCACCTCCTGACATTCAGCCAGTGGGACGATGAGTCAGTCCTGCTGAGACTGGAGCATCAGTTCCAGAGCTGGGAAAGTAAACTGTACTCGCATCCTGTAACAGTCAACCTCAAGGTCAGACATTAAAAAAAATCACGTTGCTTTCTGCAAGTACAGCTGTAACAAGAGTACTGGTGAAATGATTGCATAAGACTAGTCTTTGGCAGCTTGGTTAAATAAAATATTCTAAGTATCTGATGCTTTTTTTTTTTTTTTTCCTATTTGTGCAGAAGTTGTTTTCTACTCTGGATGTTCTGGGTGTTTCTGAGTTGAACCTTTCAGCCAATCAGTGGAAAGATGAGATGAAACGTTTCGACTGGACTCCTCAGAAAGGTACACGACACTTACACCAGTCAGGAAATTAGCTCTCAGCATGCTGATGTGATATTCGACTGAGGGGAAACATGCAAAAAATAAAGTGACTTCTGAAGGGGATGTTGAAATACGATTACAGGAATGGCTCTTAATTGGTTTAAATCACATTTATTTGCTAGATACCAATTTGTAACTGTAAATAATGAATCTTCTTCATAAACGAAAGTTAGTCATGGAGTTCCTCAAGGTTCAGTGCTTGGACCAATACTCTTTACCTTATATATGCTTCCATTAGGTAATGTTATTAAATGGCATGGGATAAATTTTCATCGTTATGCTGATGGTAGTTATATTTGTCCATGAAAACTAATGAATCCAATCAGCTACTTGGACTACAAGCATGTCTTAAAGACATTTATAAAGTCTTCAGTTAATCCAAAATGCTGCTGCCAGAGTCTTAATGGGAGTTAGAGTTTTTCCTTACCACTGTTGTCTTTAAGCTTGCTCAAGATGAGTCTGCAATGAAGTTGAACTCAAAGCAGTCTGCTCCTCAGATGGTGTTGACTTACTTTTTATATATATGTTTCTGTTCAGTGTCCTGTGATGACATCTGTTGTGTCTTGGTACTATATAAATAAACTGAATTGAATTGGATTCATTAAACAAGGTGGGAATGTGATTTAAAGAATGAAGGCAAACAATAATCCGTTTATGTTCTCCTCAGCAGCTTCAGCTGCCTGGTCAGGTCTGAACCTAAATTTTGGCAGTTTATGTTCATATATGGCTGCCTTTGCTCAGATATTAATATTGGTGCTTGTTGACTCCTTTATGGGAAGTTGTATCAAAATAAATACATTTTTACATCTTCTGAGGATTCTCAGTAAAATAAAAGCAATGAGCTGTTTCATAATGAATTAGTTCCCGACTTAAAAAAGGCAAATTAAGTTTTTTTTTTTTTAAAGAACACTCTTGAAGTGTTGAAATGGAAACCAGTTGACCGAGTATCATTAGCCAAATGTCTGGTAGCTCATCTCGTGGTAACTCGGCTTCAGCTTCCTGAATGTTGCTTCAGAAAAAACTTGGCAGGTAGTTTTAGTGTCGCGTCCAGCTTTAAGAGCCTCTAGGTACTAATTAAAGATGAGTCACAAATGCATTTTATGGTTTGCAGCTTTATTGTAAGCTACTGGGCGTTTTAGTGCCAGACATGGTTAACTGTCGTTTTCTATTGCAGTTCTTTTCTTTTTTTTTGGTAAGGGAACATGAATTTTTCTGGTTTGTTTTCACGCTAACTGTCTCTTCTGATATTCAAAGCAGTAATGATAATTACATAATGATGCATCGTCAGATTGACACGCCGTTTGTTTTTCAGAGGAGACACCAACACTGAAGAAGTTTGAGGACCCTTCTGTATGGGAGGTGACCTTAAGGCCGATGGAGATCCGAACTTTCCTCCTCAGAGTCGACCGCAGATAACGAGTCTCGTGCTTCAAATTTTATTAGCCTTGGTTAGCAACAGAGGACTGAAATACCACGTGAATGTGCAGAAAGAAACAACTTGGCTTAGGGACAAAATGAGAGGATGCTTTTATACTGCTGCGTTTATAGGCAGAGACCAGTTTTAAGAGATGACGGTTTTAAAATGAACGTTTGAAACGAGCTGAGCTGGCTTGTCTGTAGGAAAAAAAACAAAACTTTTAATTATTTAAATTTAGCTGGTAATCATTTTGTTCAGACCTTCCACTACTAACACTTCTTGCCAGTGTTCATAGTCTGTATCAGGTACACAAGTTATTTGCTATCTTTCAGCAACAAGCAACTATTTTAGGAGCATATAGTTTATAATTGTTTTTTTTTATTATTATTTCTACTACAATGAACTGGATGTTGTTGCTCAATGTTATCAGACCAGCAGACACCAACTAAGGCATGAACATCTATATAGAAAGCAATGATTGAATCTTTATATTGATAATAAATTTATTTCCATGACTTCCCAATGACATTTGTGCCTTTTTGTGAAGAAGGTAAATTTTGACACGAGATCCAACTCTAATCCACTGAACTGGCCTTGGAATGTGTTTTGTGGTAAAACTTTTTTTCTTTTCACAACTTCCAGCGACTAAACAGCTACTGGTGTCAGGTGAGAAGGGACCATGTTTAAGTCTATTCTCACAATCTACATTCTGAAACGCTTTAGCCACGTGCACACTCGTTACAAATTTAAAGGAGCAGGAATAAAGTATTTTGGTCTCTACAGCTAACAAGTTATTTTCTTTTAACTGATGCTAATTTGTACAATAAATTAAAGTCTTGTATTTTTGATTATGTATATATATGCATTTATGCACTTTGTATACAAATCTTTTTCACAGAATCTGATAATAAATTTATCGTTCTTACTTAAAATACTTGTATTTATTTATTTGTTACTAATCCTCTGCATCAGTGAAGCAGAAATGTTGATGAGCTTTTCAAACTTTCATAGCCACATACGATTCAGTGGTTTAGGTCATAGTTCGCCGACAGAACCTTTTGTGGCAACATCGGAAGCTCTTCGGTGGGGGGTATCGCAGGGCTCCATTCTCGGTCCTTTTTTCTTTGTACCTGCTGCCACTAGGTGCTATTTTTTTCTAAACACAGCATACCATTTAATTTTTATGTTGATTTGTCAAATTTACTTCCCTCTGAAGCACACTGGTGCACACTATCCAACCTCTTCTTGACTGCCTGTTGACATCAGGGACCGGATAGCCTTAAATTTAAGTTTTAATGAGAAAACAGAAGTCATGCTGTTTCTACCTAATGGCACCATTAAGAACCACTCTATCGACCTTTCCTCTCTATACTCGGAGAAACAAGTCATCACTGATCTGGGAGTGGAAATGGACACTTCCATGAAACCAAACAGTCGTGTAAACACGATTGTTGGATCCTGTTTTTTTCATATGAGGCGACTGTCTAAACTGAAGCCCATACTGTCCAAAAGTAATCTTGAGACCGTAATACATGCATTCGTAACATCCAGGCTTGATTACTGAAATGCACTTCTATTTGGAATCAGTCAGACCTCCATTGCACACAACTGGTTCACTGCAGTCTGATTTTTAACTGGTACAGAAAAAAAAAAGAGGGCACTTTACTCCAGTACTGGCCTCCCTGCACTGGCTCCCGGTTCACTTTTGAATTCATTTTAAAATCCTTCTGTATGTTTAAATCTCTGAACAGTTCTGCCCCCTCCTTTCTTGCTAATCTGCTGCAGCCATATGTCCCACAGCGCTCTGAGGTCAGCAGACCAGATGCTTTTACTGGTTCCAGGCACTTGTTTTGAGCTCAGAGGTGATGCTTTCTCTGTTGCAGGTCCAAAACTGGAACGAGTTACCACTGCACATCAGGCAGACTCCCTCACTTACCGTTTTTAAAACTCATTTAAAAACACTTTTATTCCCTGGCTTTTGACACTGAGTGAGTTGATTTTAACTCGTTTGTGGTCTATAATGTTAGACACTTGGTTCTTATCTTCACCTATTTGGATCTATGTACTCTATTCTGTGTCCTTTGCATGTTTTGAGTTTGCCATGTTGCTGTTTTAAGTGCTTTATAAATAGTTGTATGGTATTTACCTGCAGCTCTTCTGAAGCCAAGAAGGTAACAAATGTTTCATCAGAAATGTTCTACGGTTGTTTTTAAAAGTTAAAGGTGGTATTATAAATGATATGCATGCAGCGATTTGTTGTTTGTGTGGACATCTGTACAGAACTATTCACCAAATTTAATTTTGTTGAGGTTTAACCTTTCATAGCAGTGACGCCAAGTTAAACCCAGTCACACTTCTTGCAGTAGCTGAAAACCATCCATCCATTATCTTCCGCTTATTCCGAAGTCGGGTCGCGGGGGCAGCAGCTTGAGCAGGGAGGCCCAGACATCTCCTTCCACAGCCACCTCTTCCAGCCCTTCTGGGAGGACTCCAAGGCGTTCCCAGGCCAACCGAGAAACTCTCCAGCGTGTCCTGGGTCTTCCCCGGGTTCTCCTCCCAGTTGGACATGCCCGAAGCACCTCTCTAGGGAGGCACCCAGGGGGCATCCTTACCAGATGCCCGAACCACCTCAACTGACTCCTCTCGACGTGGAAGAGTAGTGGTTCTACTCCGAGTCTCTCCCGAATAACTGACCTTCTCACCCTATCTCTACGGGAGGGTCCAGCTACCCTGTGGAGAAAACTCATTTCAACCGCCTGTATCCATGATCTCATTCTTTTGGTCACTACCCAGAGCTCGTGACCATAGGTGAGGGCAGGAACATAGACCAACCGGTAAACAGAGAGCTTTGCCTTACAGCTCAGCTCTCTCTTCACCACAACGGACCGGTACAGAGTCCGCAATACTGCAGATGCTGCACCAATTCGTCTGTCAATCTCACACACCATTCTTCCCTCAATCGTGAACAAAACCCTGAGATACTTGAACTCCTCCACTTGAGGCAGAACCTCACCCTCGACCTGAAGAGAGCAATCCACCTTTTTCTGACTGAGGATCATGGCCTCAGATTTGGAGGTGCTGATTCTCCTTCCTGCCGCTTCACACTCGGCTGCGAACCGCTTCAGTGAGAGCTGGAGATCACGGCACGATGACGCCAACAGGACCACATCATCTGCAAAGAGCAGAGATGGAATCCTGAGGCCACCGAACCGGAAACCCTCCGCCAGCTGGCCGCACCGAGAAATTCTGTCCATAAAAGTTATGAACAGAATCAGTGACAACGGGCAGCCCTGGCAGAGGGTTTCTGGTTTTAGCTGAAAACTATTTGAAACAACAACAACAAAAAAAACTCAAAGTATTTAAAGATACAGCATTGACTTCATTTGTAAGGAATACATTTTAGCTCAAAACGGCACAAAAGATAAAAATTATATACAATACTAATACCAGTTGTCCTCAACCAAAGCAATCTGAGTGTAATGCATCCTGGCTGCACAATCCCAGTCAACTACAGAAATAAAATTGTTTAAAATTCAAACAAAGCTACAGGAAGTCATGCATGTATTTTATCCTCTCTCGTCTGTTCCACGTCATGGGAGTAGCAGCAGTCGTCTCCATATGTACAAGTTCCCTGAAAAAGTAAAAACAATAATAATATAGCAGCTTTGTTTTAAGATGTCAAGTTATTTATGTTTAGAGGTAACAATATCTTGAAAAATAAAATCCAAACTTTGGTTTTGTGTGTAAAACAGCTGCTTAAAATAAACTACCGGTAGGTATCAGTTCTACAGTTAACAAGGCAAAAAGTGTAAGCACCTTGTTAAATCAGTTTAGGTGGTGCTCCTACATTTTGTACAGGGGAGCAGCTAAAGGTAAGAATCTTAATTTGTCATTTTTCTTCCTGCAGTAAAAAAAAAAATGGTAGCATGTTTTTCCAAATACTGCTTGAGTTTAAAATGTTAGACTGTTGTGAATGTTGTGACAATCCTTGTAGGCAGCATCACGACAGAAGTTCAGCCTTATCAAAAGGAAAATGTATTCCCACCGAGTAAATTAGAGATTAAAACATTCAACGATTATAATTTAATCTGACATGAGACAAAACTTCCTCTCTATGTTTGTATATTTTAACCACAGCTACAGGAAATTAGAAAATTAATTGTTATTAAAGCCAAATACATTTATTTTGGCATAAAATGCAACTCACTTCCGCATTGGCTTTTGTACGTCTTAGACAAAAAAAAATTAAGTTTTCTTTTTCACTTCATATACACATTGCAAACTTTAAAAAATATATCCTGATGCATGCTCAATAATCCAGGTAGAAAAATCTAAAAAAGTTAAATCTGGTCCTCTGGACATTCAAAAAAACAAAAAGCAAATCAACAAAAAATGTACAAACGTTTCGTCTCTCATCCGAGAGACTTCCTCAGTCTGAGGAGCTGTATTCAGCTCAGTCTCTTAAATAGCACCGTCTCAGGGTGGATCAACCAGTTTTGCTGCTGACAACCAAAACCAGCTGATCACATGCTCAAGAAGGACCATCAGCATAACAATGGATCTTTAGCACACTGATGGCTGTTTACTGTTCACAGAGGGCTGAGTGATACTAGCAATCACAGCATTGTAAGAGGGGGACAGTTGAACCCGGAGGCCTCCACCCCTGTTTAATGATGGACAATTTCTTTTCACAAAGATGGCCTCCTTTACTCCTCTCTCAAACCATCGTTCCTCTCTATCCAGGATGTGAACATCTTCATCCCTGAAAAGAGTGACCGCTGGCCTGGAGATGAGTGTAGACCGCAGAGTCCTGGCCTGATGATGTTGATCTTCTGTGCTGGGCCATTCTTTTGGCCAGTGGCTGTTTTGTTTCCCCGATGTAAGACTGATCACAGCCCTCCTGACACTGAACAGCATACACAACATTACTCTGTTTGTGCCGGGGGACTGGATCTTTGGGATGAACCGTAATGTATTTTGGGGTTTAAAAGCCACTGGGACGTTATGTTTAGGAAATAAACGTCTCAGTTTCTCTGATACTCCCTCAACATATGGAATGACCACTGGTCTGGGTCTGGGTTCCTCCTTTTCACCTGTTGGCTGACTGGAGTCCTGTTTGGGTTTCTTCTCTGCTTTCAGGAAGGCCCAGTTAGGATATCCACATTGCTCTAGAGCCTGTCTTGTGTGGGATTTCTCCTTCTGCCTGGCTCCTGAGCTAGTGGGGACGCTGTCTGCTCTGTGGTACAGAGTCCTGATGACTCCTAACTTGTGCTCCAAAGGGTGATGGGAGTCAAACTGCAAATACTGGTCTGTGTGGGTGGGTTTGCGGTACACCTCGGTTTGCAAATGTCCTCTATCAGAGACTGAGACCTCACAGTCCAAGAAAGCCAACTTGTCATTTTTTACATCTTCTCGTGTGAACTTGATGTATTTATCCACAGAGTTGATGTGGTCAGTAAAATGTTGGACTTCCTGAGATTTGATTTTAACCCAGGTGTCGTCAACATACCTGAACCAATGACTTGGTGGTGTCCCTGAAAAGGACGTCAAGCCTCTCTTTTCTACCTCCTCCATGTACAGGTTGGCAACAATAGGAGAAACTGGAGACCCCATAGCACACCCATGTTTCTGCCTATAATATTGCTCCCCATATGTGAAGTTTCAGCCTGCCTCAGCAATGCCAAACCACCACCTTCCAACATCAGTAGAGAGGAGAGGGATGCACTCACCACTCTTAGCAAGGACAAAAACATCATCATTCTCCCCGCAGACAAAGGAAGGTGCACAGTGATTTTGAACCAGAAAGACTATCATGAGAAGGTTATGACACTCCTTAGTGACTTAAACACTTATGAACCTCTGAAAAGAGATCCAGGAAGTGGTTACAAGAAAAAGTTAATAGATTGCCTGAAAATTTTGGAGCAGGACAAGGCTATTGACCGTTTTCTGTACCACAGACTGTACCCAGGGGAGGCCACACCTAGTCTGTATGGTTTACCTAAAATCCACAAACAATGTGCACCTTTAAGACCAATTGTTAGTATGATTAACTCTGTCACTTACAATGTTTCCAAATATCTGGCGTCTGTACTCATCCCTTTAGTTGGCAGCTCAGAACACCACATACAGAACACCATGGACTTTGTGGATAAGGTGAGGGATGTCATCATGGAGACTGATGAAACAATGGTCTCTTTTGATGTCACATCACTCTTTACGTGCATTCCTGTTGATGATGCAGTAGAGGTGGTCAGTTTAAGATTCAAATCAGACACCACTCTGAGCAGCAGGACCACACTTTCCACAGAACAACTGTGTTAACTCTTGAAACTGTGCCTGCAGTCAACTTACTTCACATATGGGGAGCAATATTATAGGCAGAAACATGGGTGTGCTATGGGGTCTCCAGTTTCTCCTATTGTTGCCAACCTGTACATGGAGGAGGTAGAAAAGAGAGGCTTGACGTCCTTTTCAGGGACACCACCAAGTCATTGGTTCAGGTATGTTGACGACACCTGGGTTAAAATCAAATCTCAGGAAGTCCAACATTTTACTGACCACATCAACTCTGTGGATAAATACATCAAGTTCACACGAGAAGATGTAAAAAATGACAGGTTGGCTTTCTTGGACTGTGAGGTCTCAGTCTCTGATAGAGGACATTTGCAAACTGAGGTGAACTGCAAACCCACACACACAGACCAGTATTTGCAGTTTGACTCCCATCACCCTTTGGAGCACAAGTTAGGAGTCATCAGGACTCTGTATCACAGAGCAGACAGCGTCCCCACTAACTCAGGAGCCAGGCAGAAGGAGAAATCCCACACAAGACAGGCTCTAGAGCAATGTGGATATCCTAACTGGGCCTTCCTAAAAGCAGAGAAGAAACCCAAACAGGACTCCAGTCAGCCAACAGGTGAAAAGGAGGAACCCAGACCCAGACCAGTGGTCATTCCATATGTTGAGGGAGTATCAGAGAAACTGAGACGTTTATTTTCTAAACATAACGTCCCAGTGGCTTTTAAACCCCAAAATACATTACGGCAAAGACTGGTTCATCCCAAAGATCCAGTCCCCCGGCACAAACAGAGTAATGTTGTGTATGCTGTTCAGTGTCAGGAGGGTGATCAGTCTTACATCGGGGAAACTAAACAGCCACTGGCCAAAAGGATGGACCAGCACAGAAGATCAACATCATCAGGCCAGGACTCTGCGGTCTACACTCATCTCCAGGCCAGCAGTCACTCTTTCAGGGATGAAGATGTTCACATCCTGGACAGAGAGGAACGGTGGTTTGAGAGAGGAGTAAAGGAGGCCATCTTTGTGAAAAGAAACCGTCCATCGTTAAACAGGGGTGGAGGCCTCCGTGTTCAACTGTCCCCCTCTTACAATGCTGTGATTGCTCGTATCACTCAGCCCTCTGTGAACAGTTAACAGCCATCAGTGTGCTAATGATCCATTGTTAGGCTGATGGTCCTGCTTGAGCATGTGATCAGCTGGTTTTGGTTGTCAGCAGCAAAACTGGTTGATCCACTCTGAGAAGGTGCTATTTACAAGACTGAGCTAAATACAGCTCCTCAGACTGAGGAAGTCTCTCGGATGAGAGACGAAACGTTTCTACATTTTTTGTTGATTTGCTTTGTTTTGTTTTTTTGAATGTCCAGAGGACCAGATTTAACTTTTTTAGATTTAAAAAATATATATATATTTTTTTTTTAAAAAGGTCTTGCACCCACTTTGTGGTAACAAGAATCAAGTTGATAAATCTGACCTGTTTGAACTTCTTGCAGGGAAAGTTCTTGAGCTCAGCAGAGTCGGTGATCTGGTTCTTCCTTTTGTTCTGGTACTTCTTCCTCTTGTCCTGCAGGTTTGAAGCGATACCACCACTGGAAGAAAAAACAAACCAGTGAACTGCAGACCAACAAGGGAGAGAAAAATAAATGATCGCAGGAAGAAGACAAAAAAGTCAAAATTACAGATGCAACAAACATGTTTAAGCTTAAAAATGTGCAACGTGTAATAATTACCGTAATTTCCGGACTATAAGCTGCTACATTTTTCACACTTTGAACACTGAGGCTTATACAATGCTGCGGCTAATATATGGATTTTTTTTTTTTTTTAATTATTATTTTTTGACGGGCTAAAGAGCTGCATGCCGCCAAAACATTTAGCCTCGTCACGGCTGGGCGCTCACATAGCTGCCCCGTACATGTCTCTTTTTTTAGCGTGGCCCTAAAGCTCCATCATATGTTACAACTTGGACACCTGCAGCTTATACACAAGTGCGTACGATATATATGTACAAATTATTATTTTTTCTTTTTAAAGTTGGTGGGCGTGGCTTGGGGTGCTCAATAGTCCAGAAATTATGGTATAGCCAAACATTATCTTTTAAATTTAATTGAATTTAATTTCACTTGTCATCCAATCAGCTGCAGTGACGTAATCTCACTGACAATAAAAAAGGTTCAGAAGCATCAATCCTTTGAACAAACAACATGTTTAATATCAGATGAAGCGTGTGTATCTGGCTGTGATGGATTAGCACCGGCACTATGAGCATCATCAGTTTGTAACCGTTATTTATTTATTTATTTACCCTGTTTTGGCTCGAGCTTTGGGTCCCCAGAAGGCCTGAGGATTCTCCTGGAACCTGGTCAAATGACGTTTACGAGACTGGGGGTTGGCATCCTCTCTCACTGTGAAACACGCCTCCAGGCTACACACACAAACAAGTTGTCCAACAATAAGGTTAGAATAAAAAAAAGTTTTAATGAGTAATGATAGACATGAAAACAACTTCACAAAAAACTAGTTTCCACGTTTTGTTTGTTTAATATAGTAATAAACATCTTTTCAGCTGTTATTAAACGGATTGTGTGTAAAATGAAGCGTGGTGATGTGGACTTGTCTCACCTGGGCTCAGCAGAAAGGATCTTGAACGCAGGACTAGTCGGGGACAACTTCTCCCGCTTCACAGGGTTTGACTTCTCCTACAGCAAATAAGCAAAAAAACAACACAAGTTAATGAAGCACTGATTTCTGCATTTGTCTCAACCAGCGACAGCAGAAACGAATCAGGTTTCTCAAAAGATAACTTGGGCGTCTTTCAGATTTACCCAGCACCGCATGACGTCCCAGATGGTTGCAGGAGGAGCGTCTGTTTTTATGGCGTTTTTACAAGCGTGAGAGAGAGAAACTCTGTGACCTGCATGAAGCAGAGCAGATCTGCACACACAAAGAGGCCGAGTACGTTAATTCAGTCGGAGACAAACGAGACAGACACGACTCGCTGTTCTTTTGCTTTTTCATTTATTAATGCTTTTAAAAGAAACAAAACAAATTCATTAAAACGAAGAAAGAAAAAAACAGTGAAAGAAGAAGATAATTCTTATATCTGCCCCTTGTTAAAAAAAAATAATAACTACAAAAAGACATCAGCCGTTATTCACATGGTATCAGACTTTCCTAACAATTTTAACTTAATCATCTTTTTAAACATATAAATTGTTTTAGAAATTTTTATGGTGATATTAATATTCCCTGGATTACGCAGCGCTCCTTCTAGTTCTAAATGAAGGTTTTACAAACATTTCCATTCTCTTAAGGTTATAACAACTCTTTTTTAACAAATTTTAATTGAATATTTGGGGGCAATATTTTTTATGAGCTTTATACACGATGTAAAATACTATTTAAAACCAAATCATAAATTTTTTATAATTTCAACTGATGAAACAAGATATTTGTTGGGTGTTCATAGCACTTCCTGCTAATAATTCTTATAGCTCTTTTTTGTAAAAATAAAAATAGGACTTCAATACAATAGATTAAAAATGGAACAATTATTACAATACATACAAAGCTTTGTCATTCAAAAACTATTTTACTTTATATAGTAATACAATTTTTTTGTTGTTGGTTTTTCCATGTCAGCTTCTCATCAATAACAACACCCAAAATTTTTATTTCATTAACTATGAATTTCAATACTGTCAATTTAAATGGGACTTCAGTAATTTTATTTCTATTACTAAATATCATGTAGTTTGTTTTGTTCCTAATTGAATGATAACTTATCAAGTTGGAACCGTTTGTATTTTTACTAATTCTGCCTGTATCATCTTTAACATTTGTTCAATATCTTCACACGAATAAAAAAAATGTATCATCTGCAAATCAAACACACTAATTTCATGTGTGTATCCATGTATGGGCAGCTTTTTTTGAGTCCCAGCTCACCAACTGTGTGTTTTTTTTCTTTCCTTGTCAATAACGCTGAGATTTTCCAATAGTTTGCCTTTTTTTTTTTTGCTTATGATCCATGTTGTGACATCTTGGTGACGCCTTCATAGATTGTAATTGTTTTGGAGTCTCTGAACTTTGACAGCAAAGTATTTCCCCACCGTTAGAGAAGGAAATAAGCTTGAAATAGGTGACACACATCAGTGTAAAAACCAAATGAATGCCAGGTTTACCGAGTTCAATGCTTCAAAGCAGCATACTCGGTGTATCGTTTTGTTTTTTTACTCAAACTGCAGGCAGAGTAACGATGTGAGTAACTGGAGCTTAAGTCAGGAATGTTTCTCATTTCTTGAATGTGCATGTGACGATTGTATACCTGAACTGGAGCAGGGAAGGCGTGCTGCAGTGCATTGTGCTGCTCAGGTTGTCCACTGTGTAGTAAAGAGGAACATCTTCCAGCTCCTGAAACAAGCAAGACGTCAAGCGTCAGTATGGCAGAAAACAACTCGAGTTTTAGTCAGAAAACTGCTTGAAAATGTAAAATAACCCCCTCAATAAAATCAAACCATCCTCACACGAGTATTCTAACGATATCAAACGACGTCATGAGAGGACATGGAGAAATGAATACCTCGGTAACCATGCTGAGCATCCCCTCGATACGTTTGGACGTCCCAAATCTGGAAGGATTCCCCGACGTGGCGGCTAAAACCTTCTGGACGAATCCCAGGTCGTGAATGGACTCAGCCCAGATGGGACCGCCCAGCTGCAATAAATACATAAAAACACTGTTATCATCTATAGACAGACAATCACAAACGTGCAGAGACGATGGTAAACAAACTAAACCTTTTAAATAAATGAACACGATGACAAACTGCAGATCATAATGTTGGGCATCACGAGGATTGATTTGATTAAAAAGAAATCCGTTCTAAGGAATGTGCTGCATTCAGTGTCACACCTGATGTCTCTGTCCGCAGTGTTCACACTCCAGTCCAACAGGTGGTCCTGTGGCAACAGAATACTTCATCCTGAAATCACAAAATTCTACTTGACTGCACAACAACTAAAGCGGAGCCAAGACGTGCAGCGCCAACGGCCCTATTTTAAAAATTAAAAAAAGCTTCACATTTAACGAGTTCAAAAACATTAAAGTTTAGTTTCTCTGTAGTTTGACATTCCGCCCGGCTCGATGAGCTCGTCGCAAGAAAACCGCTCGGGCGCTGCTGCTCTGTGAGCGTTCTTACTGTTTCCCGTTGTCGATTCTTCTGCCCAGTCTCTGCAGGTGGAAAGAGCCGCAGCCGACGCAGCTGTACACCAGAGCCTGTTTGCTGCAGCGCAGGAAGAGGAAAGATTCAACCGGAGTGCTTGTTTATTAAAAACAATCTTTTGTGCGACACTGTAAGCACATAGAGAGAGCATAGTAACTAGATTTTATATGAATGATTATTACATGCACATGAAGCCTGTTTCAGCTCAGTTAACACACTCTGCTGATGTGCTTTTATTGTCTGAATGTTTATGAAGCATTCTTTTTTTTTTTCAGTACGATTTTCAGCATCTTTCTCATCCCACAGATTTTAACTTATTTCAGCATAAATCAAAACGTTCAGCTCGTTCAGGACAATCCTGCTGTGACTTTTGGTTTTGGTGCAACTTTAGCTTTTTAAAATATTTAGCCTTTTCTGTCACTTTTTTCATAGAAAATGAACTGAGCTCATTTTACATCCTTCAAAATCTTTAGATCTGTTTACAACCTTTTGCTGCTCCGTTCACATTTTGTTCTGCTTCAGCTTTTTTCAGCTTCCTTGTGCAAATATAAACTTTGTTTCCAGCTACTTTCAGCTCTTTTTTTCAGCTGTCTTATGCTCCTTTTAGATTCTTTCTGCTAACTACAACGTTTTTCTGCTTCTTCTAACTTCTTTCTGCTAATTTCAGCTTGTTATGCTCCGTTCAGCTTATTTATGCAAGTTTAGATTTTTCTGCTATTTCAGCTACTATTTAGCTGTTTTTTTCCTTTTTTTGCTAATTTTAGGTTTTTCAGCTAATTCTACATTTTTTGCACTCATTTCAACTTTTTTTAAGCCTAATTTGGAAAATAAATATGCTCCACTTTCTTCTGGTGATTTAAGATTTTGTTTATGCCTTTTTAGCTACTTTTCAGCTGTTTATTGCTAATTTCTGCCTTTTCAGATAAATTCCACTTTTTTGTGCTTATTTCAGCCTAACTGAGCAAACATGTTCTTTCTGCTCTCTTCAGCTGTTTTCAGATAAATTCAACTTTTTCATGGTAATTTAATTTTTGCTACTTTCAACATAATTAACTTATTTATGGTAATTTCAGCCTGCTATGCTCATTTCAGCATTTTTTTCTGCTATTTCAGCTACTATTTAGCTGTTTATGCTAATTTTAACCTTTTGATATAATTCCATATTTTTAGCTCATTTCAGCTCTTTCCACTTCCTTCTGGTAGTTTAAGCTTCTTTCTGCCTTTCCAGCTACTTTTTGCTAATTTCAGCTATTTTGGCTAATTTTCTAATTATGTGCTCAGTTCTGCTCATTTAAATCAAATTCAGCAAAAATGTGTTCTTTCTGCTTTCTTCTGCTAATTAAGACATGTTCTTACATTTCAGCTACATTTCAGCATGTTTTTAACTAATTTCAGCTGTTTTTCAGCAAGTTCTTCAGCAATAAGCATTTACACTGCATTTTTGTAGGAAATGCAGATTCTCTAGTTTAACTTTACCGTCTTCCTTCCTATTTATTGTACGTGTGGATGTTCAGTTGTTGATTTTTATTTTACCGTGAAGCACCTTGGTCAAGTTTAGTTGTTTTCAGATGTGCAAGATGTGGGGGACAGAAATATATTTGACCTTGGTCCTAATTTTTTCCTGACTAAGTTCTGCTGCTGCTGACTTTACCTACAGATTTTGGTTCTACAGCGACCCAGGTTAAGGATCATTTATCTTTCATCATCATACGGTATATCAATGTGTGTGTGTGTGTGTGTGTGTACCTCACTGAGTTTTTGACAGTAGCCTGTCCTGTGAAGACACGAACAAAGACCCGAATGTAAAAGTCGGCGCTGACGGACAGCAGTGGCTGGATGTATCGCTGGTACACATTCGCACGCTGGTCCAAACTGTGGAGGATGATACGAAGAGCCTGAAGAGAAAAAAATATAACAAAGACTGAAACAACAAAAGTATTCATAATTAAAGCAGTGTAATCTGTTAATGGCAGTAAAACTATTTTATGTGACGAATAAAAGTCTGAAATTTAAACAAATTTATAACTCTTGCTGTGATGGGATGTCTTATGAAAAATGATTCCAGTTTTTCTCAGTTAAGAAGGCAAATATTTACATCACTGCATAATCTAAAGCACCATTTTGTCCTTTTATAGCTAAATGTATCCCATTTATTACACCGTTTAGATTTGCAGATTTCAAGACAAATTTCTGAACCGAGTTCTCGTGCAGTCTATGGTTCGTTTGCTAAGGTGGATTAGTTGTGACAGCCATCTTGAATTGGGCTGACCCTAAAAGTTAGTTGTAGATGTGCATCCAGTGATTATATTATGGGCATCCGATAGACCGTTAAACTCAAATTGAGTGAATCAGAGGGACGTTCACTGCCCTTGGTGTTCACATCCAGCTTAAACAATGGTGGCTGAGATGCTAAAGCACATGGAAAATGTTTTGATAATGGAAAACTGGGTTCAACGTAACTAATATTGCCATTAAGTGTTCGTTAAACGCAGTCTTTGCAGCCAGTTTCTCCATGTATCAACACTCTGATGTCGGGTGTTTGTGTCAAAGTTGTTGAGTCTAATTATAACATGCGCAACACATTCTGAAAGACATAAGAGAGAAGGAATGGAATCAAATCTTTGACAAAAATCAGCTGAAGGGTAAAACAGCTAAATATTTGGAATGATGATTCTACCAAAGCCTGTCAAACATTTCACTGAACCCTCAGAAAATCTTGTAAAAGCATGTCAGCTTTCATCAAGAGCTTTAGTCTGAATAACCATCTGCTGAAAATGCACAACTATGAGTGTCTCAAACAAGTACCCGTACTGAAATCTAAGGGATCATCACTTTAAACCTGCCCGGAGAAGAAACTTGTGATCTGAATGTTTATGAAGCATTCACACTATTGGGATCCATTTTTCTTTTGTACGTTTTCAGAATCTTTCTCGTTCCACATTTTTTGTGCTATTTCAACACATCATAAATCAAAACATTCAGCTCGTTCAGGAGACGGGTGCTATGACTTTTGGTATTGGTGCAACTTTAGCTTTTGAAACATTTAGCCTTTTCTGCCATTTTTCCCCTCATAGAAAATGAATTGAGCTCATTTTACATCCTTCAAATCTTTAGATCCGTTTACAGCCTTTTACAGCTCCTTTCACGTTTTGTTCTGCTTCAGCTTCTTTCAGCTCCCTTGTACAAATTTAAACTTTTTTTCAGCTTCTTTCAGCTAATTTTCAGCTGTTTTGAGCTTTCAGATTCTTTCTGCCAACGACAAATTTTTTGTGCTTCTTCTAACTTCTTCTTGCTAATTTTAGCTTGTTATGCTCATTTCAGCTCATTTATGAGTTACAGCTTTTTCTGCTATTTCAGCTACTATTTAGCTGTTTTATGCTAATTTTACCTTTTTCAGCTAATTCCACATTTGTTGCACTCATTTAAACTTTTTCAGCCAAATTCAGCAAAAATGTGCTCTTTCTACTTCCTTTTGGTAACTTAAGCTTCTTTCTCCTTATTTTAGCTACATTTCAGCTGGGTTTTGTTTACTAATTTCAGATTTTGTCAGATTTTTCAACTTTTTGATGCACATTTCTGTTTGTTTATGGACAAGTGTGATCTTTCTGCTTTTTTCTGCAAATTTAAGCTTGTTCTACATTTTCAGCTACCGTTTTAGCATTTTTAGCTAATTTCAACTGTTTTCTGATAAATTCAAGTTTTTTTGTGGTAATTTCTGCTACTTTCAGCCTAATTAACTTCGTTATGCTAATTTCAGCTTGTTATGCTCCTTTCAGCTTATTTATGCTAGTTTAAGTTATTTAAGCTACTATTTAGCCGTTTTATGCTAATGTTAGCTTTATCAGCTAATTCCACATTTTGCACTCTGTTGAAATCAGGTCGCTCTTGTAAATGAGTCCTCGAGGCTCAATGGGATTTACCTGTCTAAATAAAGGTTGAATGAATGCACTCCTTTCAACTTTTTTCAGCCTAATTCAGCAAAAATATGCTCTCTCCACTTCATTCTGGTAATTTAAGCTTTCTGGTTTTTTTAGCTACTTTTCAGCTGTTTTTTTTCTTCTTCCAGATAATCTCCACTTTTTGGGTCTCATGTATTTTTCTTTAATCCTAATTGGGCAAATATGTTCTTTCTGCTTTCTTCTTCTAATTTAGGCTTGTTCTTCCATTTCAGCAACCTTCAGCATGCTTTTAGCTAATTTCAGCTGTTTTTCAGTAAGTTCTTCAGCAATGGGCATTCACACTACATTTTTGCAGGAAATGCAATTTCTCTCCTTGTTATTGTTAACTTGTGTTCGGAGGATTTTCCCACAGAACTCAGCTTTTAGTTTTACAGCTAGTGACTCACACGGCCATCTATTGAGTCCTGAATGAAAAGATTAAGCCAGTGTGAATGTGAAAATGCTGGCATGTCTGTGCATGTACCACATGTTCATTTTCACATTTCTGAGAGTGTATGTGTACTCTGTGCCCTCACCATCTCATGACAATACTTGGCTTTGAGGGAGACCGAGCCGTATTTGCTGTAGCATGTTTCTCCACTGTTTCCCGCCATCACGGCCATGTCTGTACACGTTACACACAACAGACCTGAGGGAGACACAAACACACAGTGGGTGATGGCTGAAGACTAAAAGAAAAACTACATGCAACAGCAAAGGTCAAACATGACTTAGTACATTTTTTTTTTCCTTTCGGCTTCGAACTAAGTCGCACGAAGACTTGGTTATTGTTTTTATGCCGGATGTCCTTCCTGATGCAACCACAGACCACCGAGCTACCACAGCCCTCTGTGTGGAGCAGGGAGCTGACACATAGAGCACCCGGGGGAGCAGATGGTGGGGGTTAAGGGACTTGCTCAAGGGCCCAGAGTGGGGTAAATGAGGGTGGAGGCAGGTGTGGGTGCTTCACTTTTCCCACCCACATTGTCAGTCCAGGGGCTCAAACCGACGACCTTCCAATAACAGGTTCACCTTCCCTAACCTCTGCGCCACCACTCCCCATGACTTAATATGATCATGTTTGGCCTAATTCAACACTGATTTCTCAACTCAACTCAACTCAACTCAACTTTATTTTGGTAAATTAGCATTACAGAAAAAGGAAAACAATATAGACTACTTTTTGACAAATCAATAATTTACCAAAAAAGGAATAGGCTGAAGCCGAGGCTTATACTTGCCTACCCTGTTCATAGACTCAGCAGTCTTCAATAATAAAATATATCTACTGTCCATATATATACATACATTACATATACACATATCTATATAAAAATATGTCTGTGTATATGTATAAGCATACTTACATTACATACATACATTGTTAAACACTACATATATACATCTACATAACAGTATAAGCTTTTATAATTTTACCTTTTATGGACCTTTTAAAGCTCAACAAAAAAGCACATAATTTGAGTTCATCATTCAATTCATTCCACAATTTCACACCGACAACTGAAATGCATCTAGATTTTACTTTACTTTTCTCTTTAGCTTGTTCAAATATTAATAAACCTCGTAAATTATAATTACTCTCCCTTAACTTAAATAATTTCTGAATCCCAGAAGGAAGACTTTTATTCACTGCTTTATACATTATTTCCAGTATTTTTATATTTACAATGTCATTAACTTTTAAGGTGTTACTTTGAATAAAAAGTTTATTAGTTGGTTCACAATATCCCACTTTATTAATAAGCCTAATTTTATGGCAATTAAAAAATGTTTTGGTGGAAGTTTATCATTAACTTTTATAGACAGTCAGAAAACTGCACTAACCCATTTTAAGAGACAGTAAAGTTACTAAATACAGAAGATATCAATCACAAACAGCTTCTTGGTACTGAGTGGACTTCAGATAACAGGAATTTATGGTTTTTAAACACATTGACATGCGACAAAATGCTCCTTAGTTTGCTTGTTTAGGGTTTCTCAAAGTGACATTTAGAAGCAGACTACAGTCTTTTCAAAGCAGAAAACTTTTGTTTCCATATTGAAATAGCAACTATCCTCAAGACAGATGCTTTTCTATAGTTTAAAGCCTGGAAATGTTCCCATTCCATAAAAATTGTATTATTTATATATTTAAAACAAAGATAAATCCATTAAATTCCATCTTAAGCAGCTTTCTGAAAACTTGGGCCACAATGTCTTCTATTTAAAAGAGGAAATTGCAAAAGGTTCAGTCTGGGTTGATCGAGCCGCGATGTATTCACTGGCAATGGCAGCAAATGTTTTATACTACAGATTACAGAAAAAAATTATTGTAGCGGCTTTAAAAAGGAAATGGCAAAACAATTGCCTTTTTCCACCTAGTTTTAATTCTGAATTGCAATAAGTAACATTACAGGCACTCTAACCATATTTACATAAATACCGTATTTTCCGCCGTACAAGTCTCTCCGGCAAATAACTAGGCCTGTAACGATTATAAATCCAGCTGGGCGATTAATTGTCTCAGAAATTATTGCGATAAACAATAAAATTGTTTGAAATTTTACAATAATTAGTAATTATTGTCAAATTTAAGAAGAAATGCTGGTTAATTTGTTTTGAGTGTAAAACATTTTTTCGACCACCGGATGGCAGTACAAGACAGTTTGAACCAAAGGATGGATAGTGAGGGAGTGAGCAGTGAGTCTCTCTAAGAAAAATGGGAGGGAAGCCCCTTGACGTGACATGGGCTGTTTCTCCTTCCTTTCTTTGGTTCTCAAAATGGCGGACGCTCGGTGTGGTTTGAGCTATTTAGCATAGCATTTTTCACACAAAGCTTTTAATAAAAAATAAGAAAAATCAGTAAACAAGTTCTCAGCTTCTTTTTGCAAAGAAAAACTTTTTACACAAAGGCACAGGTTTCAACCGTGAATTTTGGAGCTTCGACAAGACGGAGGGTTTATTCCGAGGTCGGCCTGTTAGCTTAGCTCGTAGCTTAGCTTCTCAGCTTAGCTGCTTTTAACGATCCAAAAATGTGATTTTGGATGGTTAAAACAGATTTTAAAGAAAAAATAGAAAGGGAGGGGTCAGTGAAGCGCACCGGAGTTGAGTCTTTTATCATCCAGTGTCTTGAGTAGAAAGAGAGAGACACGAAGAAATGATAAATCCGATAAATGAAAATAAGGTCGATAATATTCATTTATCATGCGATTAATTGATTTATTGTTTATCGCGACAGGCCTACGAATAAGTCACATCAGTCCAAAAATGTCTCATACAGTGGGAAAAAAACACAAGTCGCTTCACCGTATATAAGTTGCATTTATTATGCGTCACCGCTGACCCCAAGGAAACGTGGGCCGGTGTTGTGCCAAAAATTGATTGGCTGCCAAATGGCGGCCGCGGGAGTGTGCACGGGAGGATTTTAACAAGAATTTAACAAGATTAACATTTAAAAACAATTATTTGTTTGCTCGAAATTATAACAAAGGTGTGTCTCAGTTTAACTTTTCCTTAATAAATGCACTTTAATGGTCAAAACAGTTTAATTTCATAAATAGATTGGTGGCTGCGGGAGCGCGTAGAGGGAGAACTCACTGTGCATTTCTTTGAAAATTTCAGGAACAACATATAAAAGCCTAGAGGGCCCTCTAGCGGCTGCAACTGGTTATGTTCACTGGTTCATATCTATGAATGAACATTTTAAATGTCAGTCAAAAATTGGGTTTTAAATACGGGGGAAAAAAAACATATATTAGTCATTTCAGTGAATAAGTCGCAGGACTTGCAAATGTATGCAAAAAGGTGTGACTTATACGCCGGAAAACACGGTACTTTTCCTACCAAAAGGTTCAGCAGTACACATTTAGATTAGAAAAAGACTAGTGTTGCAAACCAAGTTTGTAAAATTGATCAATATAATTTAAAGTTTGCCAAGATTGTAGAAACTTTATTTTAAGTAAAGGAATAATCCAGAATTTTTCTGCATAATTTGGTGGAGATTGGTATTAAATTCTTAAAAACAACTACAGTATTAAAAATATGGCTTTTTATCCTGCTGTGTATCATGTTACTTAACCCTACACAAGCAGGTTACCTTATTCTTTATGTACAAGTACTATACTTGCTGTTGTGACTAGCTTTCTAGCTCAATTTGTAGTGTTTCAAATTCCTGGCATGAAACCAAAGTGTGATGATCGTCAGATTGAAGTACCCACCTCCCTCACTGACAGCCTGCACAGCAGCATCCAGAAAAGTTGCAGGGCTACCGTAGGGGTCCAGGTCAATGACATCATATCGCTCTTTCTTCCCTCGCATGTCATACATCAGCATGCTGGGCACCGAAAGAGATGAAAGAATAAGAATAATGAACAAATGTGTTCAAGCAGCTGCTGAAACATAAATGACGTCAGCAAACAGCTGAAGTGAGACGAATGAGAAGATGAAAATAGAGAAATGGCATTTCCTGCAAAAATGCAGTGTGGATGCTTATTGCTGAAGAATTAAGAGAAAAACAGCTGAAATTAGCTAAACCATGCTGAAATGTAGCTGAAATTGAAGAACAGGCCTAAATTATAAAAATAAAGCAGAAAGAACACATACTTACTGAATTAGGTTTAAATAAGCAGAAATGAGCACAACAATTAGGAAATTAGCTACAAAAGCTGAAATTAGTAAAATAAAACTGCTGAAAAGTAGCTGTAAACGCACAAAAGCTTAAACAACCAGAAAGAAGCAGAAACAGCTGAAATGAGCTGAAAAATGTGGAATTGGTTGAAAAAGCTAAAATTGGCATAAAAACAGCTAAATAGTAGCTGAAATAACAGAAAAAACTTGAATTAGCATAATCTGAAATTAGCAGAAAGTTAATTACATTGAAAGTAGCAGAAGAAAACACAAAAAATTTGAATTTATTTGAAATAAGCTGAAATCAGCTAAAAATGCTAAAAAGGTAGCTGAAAATGTAGAACAAGCTTAAATTAGCAGAAGAAAGTAGAAAGAACACGTTCAATCAGACTGAAAGAAGCCGAAATGAGCGCAAAAAGTGGAAATTATCTGAAAGAAGCAGAAATTTACAAAAAACTGCTGAAAGGTCACTAAAAAGGCAGAAAAATGCTTAAATTACCAGAAGGAAGTGGAGAGAGCACATTTTTACTGAATAGGGCTGAAAAAAGTAGAAAGGAGTGCAAAAAATGTGGAATTAGTTGAAAAAGCCCAAATTAGCAGAAAAACAGCTAAATAGTACCTGAAATAGCAGAAAAAGTTAAAACTAGTAGAAATAAGCCAAAAGGAGCTAAACAAGCTGAAATTAGCAGAAAGAAGTTAAAAGAAGCACAAAAATGTTGTAGTTAGCAGAAAGAGTCAGAAAGGAGCACAAGACAGCTGAAAAAAAAACCAGCTGAAATAGCTGACAAAAGTTAAAATCTGCACAAAGAAGCTGAAGCAGAACAAAATGTGACAGGAGCAGTAAAAGGTTGTAAACGCATCTAAAGATATGAAGGATGTAAAATGAGCTCAGTTCATTTTCTATGAGGAAAAAAAAAGTGGCAGAAAAGGTTAAATATTTCAAAAAGCTAAAGTTGCACCAATACCAAAAGTCATAGCACTCTTCTCCTGAACGAGCTGAACGTTTTGATTTATGATTTGTTGAAATAGAACAAAAATTATGGAACGAAAAAGATGGAGAAAAAAGATCGACTCGAGAAAATAAGAAAAGACACATTCAAAACAAGCGCTTGCTTGAATGTGTGAATGAAAAATATTAACAAGGTGCATAAATGTCAGAAACTGTGCGAAATTATTTATAGTTCAAAACAAAGTTGAAGACAGAAAGACGCGCTGATCAGTCCTACCTGGCGTCCATGCAGCTGGCCTCAATCAGGTGGCTGACTCGGTTGTACTGAGCGTTTCTTGCAATCAGCGCTGCTGCTTTGGAGGAGAAATCATTGGCGGTGATGCTCTGCACGCCGGGGACTTCAAGAGCAAAACGCACCGAGCGCAAACCAGAAGCTGCCAGACCCTCCAGGATACGGAGCCCTTGCTAAAACCACAAGGAAAGATTTATTCATCAATGAACTATAATTCTGTTCATTTTCACAGAGCTGTGTGCTTCACTGTTATTGCCAGCTAAACACTGAAAGCACAGTTTGTAGCTGAATAAGTACTATACAAAAGATTTGATCTGAAATTAGAGACTTTTAAAAAACAAATAGAACTCGAATTTCACAATGAAGTGAAAAGTTGCTAAAACTGCTCCCAGAGCTGCAGTTAACAGCACACTGACGTCAGCTTAATGTGAGGGAACGCATTTTATTTTTACCATTTTGTGTCTTTTGATTCAAAATATGTATAAAAGTATTAATTAAACCAACTTCAAAGCTGCAGAAAAGTCCATCAAATTAACCAAAAATACATTTAAAAAGTTGACAATTTTGAAGTGTTTAACGCTGCCTTTATCACAAGTTAGATTTTTTTTCCTCCAATATAAAATGATCAACTCAACTTGCATACCAAAAAAAAAAAGATCTTTACACTAAATTCTATAACAAGGACATAAACTACTCAAGAAAGCAAAAAACCAACAGGTCCTCGAATTTAATGGACATCGTAGTCCAGGTCGATTCAACTGGCAGCCCAGGGGCCAAATCAGACTCGTGGATGTGCTCAGTTCGGTCCACCAATGTGTTCATTTTTAAATAAAACTAGATTTTAAAACATAAAACAAACTTACTTCATGACAAAAGAGGAAATCAGGAAGGAGGAACGCGACTCGTTTCTTAGAAATTTCACAAGAAAAGCACCTAAACAATTATTTGTTTCCTCATAACGTTTGCTTGATGAATGCACTTTAATGGTCAAATTAGCTGCATTTCTTCGGGGCGGTGCAGCTGGTTTGACAGTCGGTCGAAGCAGCAAGCAGAACCAAGTTGGGGGATAAGCCGATTGTGTCATTAAAAGCTGGTGAAGATTCTCAGTCATCCAGGACATGGTAAATTCCAAAACGTTCAAGAAAAAAAACAATAAAGTATAATAAATAAAGTCCAGTTATTTTTGTCTTGAACTTTTTTGAATTTGTCATTATAGCTACGTTTACCTATTACATGATACAACGGCATGCCATACAGCTACTACTACTCTGCTGCCATCAAGTGGCTGAAAGTGGTACTGCTCAGTTTTTTTTTCAGTCAGAATGAATGAAAACAGTCACATCTCAGCCAAAAATTGGTTTATAAATATGGGAAAAAAATCCATAAATATGTTGCTTCGGCCAATAAGTAACAAGGCATGAAAATTATACAAAAAAGTGTGATTTATAAAGCAAAAAATATGGTAGTTGAGTAGCCCTGTCACAGTCAGTTTCATGAAATTGTCCCACTGTCTCTCATTACCACTTGAGGCCACTAAAGTGTGAAAACACTTGGTAAATCATTATCCTGAACAACGATGGAAGCCGTCATCGAAAGAGCTTCACACTTGAACCAGCCTGTGTATTTTTGGAACAGGAAGCCACGGTGGAAATCAAACCACTCACTGCGACACTCCTACTGATTCACTTAAACTACAGGATCCCACGTGCAGCCGTCATCGAGCCACTGGTTCAGTTTACTACAAGCCACAGTGGTAAAGATTGACCGATTTGAACTATAGTTTTTAGTTTCTTCGCATACAGTAAAGAAATCAATAAGATGTTTGTAATCCAGTAATCGTGCGTGCTTCACTATAAGAACCAGTCGTACACACCTCACACTTTTCCCCTACTGTTGCAGTAGCTTTGGGTTCCTCTGCACCAATTTTCTCTTCGGTCTTTGTGTCGCCTTCATTCGTCTCCTCTGACAGAGACACCACAACCTTTTCTTTTTCTCCAGGCACCACCACCTTCACTCCACGCTGAGCCAGCAGATCTCTGGCAAACTCGGTGATCACAGCACATCTAGAAACGAGGAAAGAGTAGTTTTTTCTGCTCTTTTACTGTGGATATAAATGGAGATAAATAACACGAGACAGTTTGTTTCTCCCAGCATGAGTTCCACAATTCTCTCCGTACAAGTGGTTCAATAGTTCTTCTCCTTGTTGCTTTTAAAGGATCATGTTGTTAAAAAGGTCCGATGCCCTTCAGGCGACCTGAAGATAAGTTACCGAGTGACTTTATGAAGAAAATGTGGCAGTTCTAAAAGCAGTGTTCATATTTTCTTAAAAATACTCTTTCCACTTACATTTCAAAGCTAAAATCTCAAGTGATTAATTACCGTAGTGTCATGGCTGCCAAAGCTGGGATCGAGACCCCACTGTGGGTCATGAAACTTTAAGTGGGTGGTTCTAATTCCCAGGTATCAACTGTGACATGTCCTTATCATTTATGTTAATGTGTGTCTAGTTAATTCATTTGCTCTCTCCCTAAACAGCTGATTGGCTGGAAGTGGTTTAAAAAGGTCGAGCTCCGCCTGCTGGACGAGCGAGGGAGGCCAAAGGATAGATGTTGGCCTGATGGTGGTTGGCTTTTCTCTCCAGCCTCGCTCCTGCTCCTGTCAGAGATGCCAGTTATTGCACCTTGTCACTGATTTGTTGAGCTATTTGTTGTTGGGACTGGGAGTTACCGGTTTAGTTTGTGTTAACGGTTTTTGATTTTAGGGTTAGTCCTCGGACCATAGGGCGAGGGGAGTGGCCCGAAATCCGACGACCAACTGCTGGCTGGTTCCAGGCTTCTCTCTCTTTTGGTTTGTTTTAATCAGTTGACATTAGGAATGTGCGATATGGCATAAAGTTCATATCACGATATGTATTGTGAAGGGTGGCGATAACGATATATATCGCAATATGTTTTTGATATAAAACTTGCTAAAAAAAAGCATAGGGTGTCCTTTTGCCATTATATATTTTGAATTAAGAAAATTCCACAACTAGGTCCAGAGAGTTTTTAAATAATAAACAAATCAAGTATTGGGCTTCTTGCTTGTAGTGCAAAACAGTGCAAAAGTTATCAAATGTAGTTTTAGCCATATGTTTTAAACAGAAGAATATGTTGTTAACTCTTAACAGTTTCCAGTCTTACTTAAGAAATGAACAGCAACAGAGAAGCATTTTACATTGAAACAATTCACCCTCCAACCCTCTAGTGGGCGCCTCCTGCTTTAAGGGGAGCTGACACAAAATGAGTCTGTGGCTTTGACCAGAGGGTCTCGCAGTAAAATCACACAACACAGCGTTCCTTTCACAGATCAGAGAGCAGGTTTCTCTAAAGCTGACCAACACTTACTTTAACTTTCGACGGAAAAAAATATATAAATTTTGACGGAACACAACGTTTTGCGCATGCGTCCGAATCCGGCAACACTACGGCAAGCCGGACGTAGTTAGCTTGCAGCTTAGCTACTTAGCCCTCGAAGAAAAGACTTCAACGCCACTTGCGCACAGTTTTCAACTCAAAAAAATAGCTTAAATCTGACAGCTCTGATTTTACACTTGAACACCACTTACTTTTTTTTTTGTTGAAAACTGTGCGTAACGATTAAACTGACAACTCTGATTTTACTTCAGACAGCATTATTGAAGTTAGCTGGTAGAAGACTGTTCTATATCGTAGGCTAAATTTCTATCGTTTCTACCGTGTACCATTTATATCGCGCATTCCTAGTTGACATATATGTTCAGGTGATTGATAAAGTTTTGGTCTAAACTGCAATTATCTGGGCATCATATGTTGAGCATCCTGCAACTTACTCCTGGACATATCAGGACCATAACATATTTGGGGGCTCGTCCGGGAACTGACATCTAGCTGGAGCATGTTCTGGAACAAGGTGCGGGTAAGACCAAGCCTGTTTGTGCTTATTGCAAAAAAAAAACCTGATCATGTTTGGCCCAACTGTTTCCTGCTTAATAAAAAAGGTGTGCCCTCTAAAGCAGTCCTGTTGGGTAAAAATTCCACAGGTGCTCATCACCTGCAATGTCGGAAAAACATTTTGTTTTTTAACAGTAGTAAGGGTAGTAGCAGAATTTGCATATTTAAAGTGACAATAAATGTAGTCACAGGCTTTTGTCACTCATTTTGTTGTTGGAAACTAAAAAGTTTGTAAACTACTCTCTTGGTGCTTTTCTCAATATGCCAGGCATTTTGCTACTGAACCATAGATGGTCTGATATAACATGCAACAGTCTATGAAGTAAATTACCACTCAAGAATCATCACTGAAGCATCAGTTGAACAGGATTACTTAACCTAAAAGATGCACAGGCTTGACAAGATTTTCAACACTAAAAAAATAACTAATGCACTAATTCACTTACGTTAAATCTCTGTTAAACTCCTGGACTGGGTTGTAAAACACCTCATTGGCACTAGGAAACAAAATGGCAGCCTTTCCCTCCCTGACTACAGTCTCTCCGGGTAACAGGTCCACAGCAGGTGTTTTTTCTGCACCACTTGTTGTCACCGAACCCGTCCTCGATGCTGGAGATTCAGCAGGTGTGCATGAAGGAGTGATGGTGGAAGCTTCAGGATCCATAGAGCTCAGCCTCCTGTGAGCAGCAGCAACACGCCACCAAAAAGCCCTTTGGACTGAACGAGAGGAGGAGGGAAGCAAGCGACGGGATACAAGCATAGAAGTAGTCTGCAGAAATACAAAGTAAAAAACAATGTAGATATGTCAAGAGATTGTGAGCGATTTGAACATAGGCAAAGAACAAACTATTTTTTCCCAGTGAATATTCTCTACAGAGATTATTTCCTGGCCAACATATAAAAATGCAACACATGTTTAAAATCATAAGGCAGCTCAAACTAAAGTGTAAAGTGTAACAGCTTTCAGCTACTCTCACATTGTGTATATTATGAATCATATTTTTATGTAAATGCAGCTGATAAAATGTGAAAATGCCCAAGTGTTTTAAGTTTAAGAGGTTGGGAATTACTCTATGAATTAGGCCTGTCATGATAACTAATATTGCTGGGCGATTAATTGTCTCAGAAATTATTGCAATAAATGATAATATTGCTTGAAAATTGACAACAGTTTGTAATTATTGTTAAATTTAAGAAGAAACGTTAGTTAATTTTTGTGTGTAGTACCTTTTTTAACCACTAGGTGGCGGTAAAAGACTGTTTGAACCGAAGGATGGATAGTGAGGGAGCGAGCATCGTGTCTCTTTAAGAAAAATAGGAGTTAAAATGGATTTTAAAGAGGAAGGGAAGGATCAGTGAAAAGCACCGGAGTTTAGCCTTTTGTCATCCAGTGTCCAGTAGAAAGAGAGAGACACAAAGAAGCAATAAAGCCGAAAAATGAAAATGATAATTTTCGTTTATCATGCGATTAATTGATTTATTGTTTATTGCGACAGGCCTACTATGAATGAAATGAAACGAGGAAGTACTCACGTTTACAAAAGATTCATTCATTAGATTCAATTAGATTTAATAGTTAAGAGGGGACACAAAGTCTTAGCTGCTGACAAGTGATTATATGTGAATTGACTTGTCTGTCAACAACAGAAACTTTTGAATTTCCACTAAAACTAAATAGAATTAGTGCAGTGCCATCGACTTGTTTTTCCTTTAAATGTAGCAAGTGTTTGTCTCAGCTAGTGGAAAAATTCAGCAAATATTGCACACAAGCTGCACAACCAGTACAGTAATAGTAGTAGGGTTGTCAAGTTTCAGAAATTAAAATAAAAACACTGACTGGACAGGGTGGTGCAGAGGAAAGGGAGCTTTTTTAATACAGCTAATATTTACAATAATACACTAATATCCATAATGTGCAATATAATTGTGAAATACTTGTATTTTTTACTTTCATAGTGCTATTATATCTATATTGCGTTACATTTTTTATTTTTTTAGTGTGTGTTTTTCTTAAGCATGTTTTTGCACTAAAAAAAAGAAGTGGCTCTTAATTTCATTGTACTTGCGTATAATGACAATAAAGGGATTCTGATTCTTCTGATTTAGTTGTGTGGCAGTTTCAACTAAAAGTGATGTCATCAAATAAAGTTCATCAAATTAACATTCACCGGACAAACATATTCAGACATGTGTTCGAAGAGGAAGAAAAACTTGAATTAAGTTTTGTTTTTTTGTGGTTTTTAATTAGTGCTTGACCACTTTCAACTTTTAGCTTTGTCTTTTGCATGCTAATGCAAAAGACATTAGACAAACTTCAGCTAATGTTTTGGTCCTCTAGCTATAATTTTAGCGACTTTTAGCTTTTATCTAACTTTATTTTGTATTTATTTTTAATTAGAATTTTGCAATTTTTAGAAAGACTTTTGTTACTTCTGGTTATCAGCTAACATTTAGCTAGTTTTGGCTTTTAGGTAGCTTTTGTTACTTTTATCTTTTAGCTGGTGTTTTGCTCCTTTTAGCGTTAACAACTCAGTTTTAGCTTCTTCAGCAAATTTCAGGAAAGAAAGTGGCATTCACACTACATCTTCTCACATTACCAACTTTCGCTTGATTGTGTTTGAAATCTGTTGTCACTTTAAATGAAAAAAAAATATGTTTAATCCAATTTAATGGACAAAAGCAGCTTAAACAGCTTAGTTACTACAATTAGTTTAAGTACATTTCTTTGTTCAATATCATTAATCAAAAATGATTCTTTCATTAGACGTAATCACTGACTCACGTGTTCGTCTGTGAATAGATTTACACTAGCATTTAAAAATAAAGTGTTTCTGTACAATTTAATAAAATAAGGAATCGTGACGTGCGAGACAAAAATGCGTTCCTTGTTAGAAAACAGACTAAAAACGTAAGCTGTTGTTACACCTTCACAAACTGGATATTTATTACCTGTCGGGTTTGTGAGACGTCCTGAAGTTGTACTCAGCAGATGTAAACTTCTTGTCAGTGGCTATGTTTGAGCTGCAGCTCACGCTAAATCATGGAAGCAGCCATGTTTTTTGAGCGACGCTACGGAAGCCGGTGAGGGTAGAAAGGACAAAATAAATGGACTCCTTTCCCCTTGTATAGCGCTCCTGTTTATCATATAACATTGAGGCTCTTCAAGACAAACATCTGAAAGTAAATTATTCCCAGACAAAATGAACAGAACGCCATTTAATTCCTTTTCACAATCACCATTTCCGTTTATCTCAAACATTAGTCTTTCATGGACAAACGATTGGACATTTCATGAGTAACAGGCTTTATCCACAACTTTCTTCTTCCTATCTAAACGAATAAATATTGTGAATATTTAAAATACATGTGTTTTTTCTAGGAAAACCTCCCATTTGAGATGTTATTAGTCTTAAGTTTCATTTTAAACATCCAAAATGGAAATATGAATATATCTGACATGATTTTTTTTTTAAAATTGTACAAAATTTTGTACAATTACAAAAACATAATCTTAACAAGGACAATCAGTATTTATACAAGTTAAAAAGTCATTTCTGACATGTAAAATTAGTCTACTGGCTAGCAACAATGTAACTGCAAATATTCATAAAGACATTTGTGATTTTTTTTTAACATGACGAGAGGCTATTTTAACGTAAAAAAATAATAGTTGTGTTTTAGATGTCTGAAATGTGATAACATCTACTTTTGAAATTCATAAGAAAAGCGACTGTTTGATTATATGTTACAACGGCCTGCCACAACTGTGTTGCCAGGACAAGTGGGAGATGTTCCATCATTCAGCAATGAGCTGAAGGCCTGAAGATAGAAAAAGCCACACAGTCTGTGAAGTAACTGCAAAAAAATCTACAATTGTGGTGTGTGGAGATAAGAAAATAAATAAAGAAAGAAGACTACAATAATTTCAGCTCACACACTAATAGATCCATAACATATTAACTAAAAGATGGTCTTAATGAGAGGAAGCCATGTAAGTGTTCCAACCTATTGTTTGTATCAAACTGTGACTACTGTTCAGTTCAATTCAACTCAATTCAATCAGTAGTTAAATAATCTTCTGATTTTGTTTTTAGTTGATATAGTTGGTTGGTTGTCAAATAAAATTATATATATAAATAAAAAGAGAGAGAGAAATGCAGTTTCATGCATTATTTCTATGAATGCTTATCATAATGAACTATACTTGGCGTTGTCATTCAACAAAATGACTAAACGACAAATCGACTCATTGTTTCTGCAAAACTCCTATTTATTTTTCTAAATTATATTGTAAAAGATCCCTTTGTGGAGGGACTAACAAAATCTGTTGGCCAAAAACAGTGAGATGAACTGGAGGAAACTTAATTTGAGATTTAAAAAGAGTCATAATTGTACATTTAAAAGCTGGCACTGATTTGAGAAGTGTTTAAATAAATGCAGTTGTTAATATAATTGGAGAATAGTTCACTTTGCATCACCAAACAAGTGTTTTGTTTTTTTCATTAAGAAACAGGAGAAGAGCTAAATTAGTAGATTCAGCTGACTTGAATTGAATCAGTTGTGCCGCTAGAAAAAAAAAATCTTATTTATTTTTGTACATTTTGAACAATGTTTAAAGTCAAGTTAAAGCACGAAACTTTCATCTCCATCCTAACTCACTGGTTTAGAATTTGCACACAGCCTTTTTGATTTTCAAGATGGTTTGCCCACCAACCCACCTGGCAATTTTAGAGATGGTTTGAAGAAATCCTAATTGTTGATGCAATTATTTGACAAAAAAAAAAAAAAAAAAAACAGTTTGTGAGTCTTGAAAACATACAGTTAATTGGTGTAGATATTTAATTCCCAAAGTACAACTCTCCCTGCCAAACAGTAAATTTTGCTCGTCACTTTGCCTCCGAAAAATAAAAAGTACAAATGTAGACCTGCCACTCATTATATCTGCATCTTAATGAAAAAAATAAATCAAAGTATGGGCTATAGTGATCAGTTTCGACAGATGTAGGTGTCTCTTGAGCTGAAAAAGCTCTCTGCTTGTTGGCTCATTGATTTTACCTGCAGCAATTCAGACTTCATTATACGTCTCAGCTATAATCAGGTTTTATATGAGCTGGCCTTTTCAGCTGCTTTTAGACAAACACTTTTCAGTAACAGGTTTTAAAATGTGTGCCTGCAAGGTGAAAATCAATCCCTGACCTCTTGATCTTTCATTCATCTTTACACCTGCACAAGACCCAACCTTAAAAAAACGAGACATTTATGATCATTCTTACTTAGAATCTCGTCACACTCTTTTGCCCACTGATTTGGTTGCAGCTCCCATAAAACGGGACAAAGATGTGATGTGACTCTGCTGTGTGCCCACATGCCCGAACATCTGGATGGGGGCGCTGTGACAATGAGTGCCCAGAGTAGCGTGGCGCTATACATCTGACACAGGAGAATTATAGAGTTAACAGTATTTGGCATGACAGGGAGAGGGAGCGGGGAGCGCAGAGCCGTGCGTGCAGTCTCATCCTGTTTGGTATTCACTGTGCGCAGCGCGTGGAGATCCCGGAGGGCTCACCTGGCTGGAGTCTAGACGCACCACCACACACACAAATAGAGGACAGTGGGATCGAACCTCCTGCACCCGGCGGTCCTTTTATAGCTGCAGGGCTGGGCAGGAGCGGGGACCAGTTCCACGGCCGCGGTGAGTGACTGGTGGGTGGGGCTCCGGCAGACACACAGTCGGGTCGGCTGGGGACGCTGCGCTCTGCCGGTCTACCTGCTTCCTGCGGCGCGTGGGCTCCCATCCGCCCGCTTCATCCTTCAAAAGTAATCCCATTACTTAACTAGTTTTTATAGTTACATTAATAACCCCATTCCCGCCAAATATTATGTTGCACTTCCCTGCCAAAAACTGTTATGATATATTTTTATTATTTTTTTAAACTTATCTACAGCTTTTCCAGAAAAAATAAAATAATCAGGAAAAACATTTTTTCTGACAAGAAGATAATGCATCAATATAAGACTTAAGTTACTGATGGAAAGCAGCTAACTAGATAATTACCAATGATTGATTACTGTGTGCCTTGTGGTAATTCCTTACTGCAGATCTATTGGCAAGATAATACCGACATTTCTTATCAAATCCATTCATCATACCGATCATTGGCTCTGGGATCTGTCCGCAACCCCTGAGAGTGATAAAAAAAAATCCCCGCTCTGATCCTTTGTTTAAGGAAGCCTTTTTCTGCCACTTTAAAGAAGAAGGGAAAAAAAATGGGTAAATCATAATTATGAGTTTATATCTTAAAATTATGATTTTTAGCATCTCATAATTATAACTTAACATTTCGTAACTATGACGGCATGTCACCATGACTTGGTGCGGAAGGAGTTTGTGCATGAGGTTGAGAGGTACTGGCTCTGAAACCAGTCTTCTTAAGATTGACTTGTGGATTTTCACATGGTGAGAGCTACTGGGCTAATGTCTATAAACCCCTGACTTGGTGCCTGTGTTGACCAGTAGAAGAGAGGGTAGCTTTCCTAAATCTTGAAGTGGGAGTATGAACTCTGACTGAACCCATCGGAAGGAATAATCTGATCTGAATCTGAATGGTGTTCTGCTGTTGGACTTCTGTGCTAAACACAGTTTGCCCATCATGAACACCATGTTTGAGCATAAAGGTGCACCAGGACACCCTAGGTCACAGATCAGTGATATACTTTGTAATCATGTTATCTGATCTGCGGTCGTATCTTTCGGGTACTCGGGTGAAGACAGGAGCTTGTCAACCGATCGCCACATGGTGGTAAGTTGGATCAGATGGTGTGGGGAAGATGCCAAACAACTTGCATAATAACAGCATACCAGCGAAGACAGGGAACATTGAGTCCAAGTGGGCCATGATTATTGTTCATTGAGCCATGTTCTTCATTGTTGAGGTGGCTGCCTACCTTGTTGGTACCTCTTGCAGTGGTCATCCTTGGACCCTTGGGTTGATACCCCCAAGTGAGGGAGCCTATAATGCTGACAAAGGAGTCCTATTGTTGTCTTGTTGGGTGGTAGGACTCCAGAGGCAGCTGAGGGGTAACAGCAGGCCAAGAGCTGCAGCTCTTGCTGTTGCTGAGGCAAAAGCTCGGCTGTGGGAGGAGTTTGGTGAGGACTTGGATTGAGACTCTCTATCATCTCTGATGGTCTTCTGGCAGATCATCAGGTGGCTAAGATGGAGAAAGCAGTACTTTATCAACATTGCGCGTAGTGGAGGTGAGATGCTGTTGACCTCAACCAATAATGTTGTTGGGTGGTGGAAGGAAAACTTCTCAGACCTTCTCAATCCTACCAGCATGTCTTCCACTGAGGAAGATGAGTCGGGGGACTTGAGGGTTGGCCTGCCATTACCAGGGCTGAGGTCACTGAGGAAGTTAAAGGTTTACGGTGGCAGGACTCTTAAGGTAAAGAAGATCTGTCTTATGTTTTTCAAGGCTCTGGATGTTCCTGTCTTGGCTGACAAGCCTTTACAAAATTGTGTGGACATTGGAGGCAGTGCCACTGGTTTGGCAGACTGGGGTGGTAGTTCCCCTCTTCAAAATAGGTGACCAGAGGGTTCTTGGTGCAGCCAGGGGTCAGAGGGAGTCTGGTTAGGTGGCCTCAGAATTCAGTTCCTGCTATTGGGGAATGATGTGGTTTGGTCGGTGTTGTGTTGTTATCTTCAGCACTCAGTGGAGTGGTTCATTGTCAAGTGTGAAGTGGCTTGGATGAGGATCAGAACCTTCAAATAAGAGGCCATGATCCTCAGTTGGAAAAAGTTTGCCTTATCCAGGTTGGGAGTGAAGTGCTACCTAAAGTGGAGGAGTTCAAGTATCTTGGGGATTTGTTCATGGGTGATGGAAGAATAAAACTTGACATCGACAAGCGCATCGATTCAGCTTTCGCAGTGTTGTGGACTCTGTGCCGGATTGTTGTGGTGAAGAGGGAGCTTAGCCATAAGGCAAAGCTCTCTGTTTACCAGTCGGTCAACATTACTTCCCTCATCTATGGCCACAATATTTGGGTAATAAACATTACAAGTGGCCAAGTGGTTGAAAATTAGTTTTGTTTGCAGAGTAACTGAACTCTCCCTTAGACATGGTGTGAGAAGATCAATTATCTGGAAGAGAACAGCTGTTCTTCCACATCGAGAGGCTAGTTAAGATGGTTTTGACAACTAGTAAGGATACTTAGGAGAGAGGTGGAGCAGAGGTTAGAGAAGGTGACCCTGTGATCAAGAAGCTGAATTTGAATCTCCTGACCATTACATCAAATTTGGGTGGGAAAGGTGAAGCATCCACACCTGCTTCCATCCTCATTTGCCCCACGCTGGGCCCTTGAGCAAGGACCCCATCTTCATTCAAGCTTGTTCACTGTGGCGACCCCTGAAGAAGGGAGCATCTGAAGGAAGAAAGAAAAAAAGTCTATACCAGGGCTATTCAACTGGCGGCCCATGGGCCTGAGGTGACTTCAATTCGGCCCACTTCATTAAAAAGAAAAAAAAAAAAATTATATATATATATATATATATATATTTTTTTTTATTTTTATTTTTTTGTGCGGGGGGGGGCATGTCTGGGTTTGGGTTCTGTTTATTGCATTTATGATTCAATGCAATAAAGTAAACAAATTTAAAAGGCAACAGATATTGTAAACTTTAATGATTTTAATCGCCGGATGTCCGGCCCCCGAGCTGTTGGCTTTCAGAAACTGTGGCCCCCTGAGCAGTTTTGTTGAATAGACCTGGTCTATACTGTATATGACTTAACATCTAATAATTATGACTTCATATCTGATAGATTTGATTTAACGTTTTTAATACATTATATCATGACCAGGGCTTAATTTGTGAACCGATCAATGCCGGAACGCAAATAGCGGGTTGGATGACTGGAGGGTGTGGGGTCTGGGGGTCCTCCCCCAGAAAATTTTGAATAAAGTAAATGCGACTTCCTGCATTTTGCTGTATTTTAACGGGTTGTTAAACATCTATGTTTACCTACATTTGTAAACACTCCTCTGTCAAGCGTCCAATCCCTCCCCCCACGTTTACTTGATGGTTCCGAGCCGACTCTTCTCCGATGAAGTCACTGTCCGACTCCACATGTGAAACCTCCAGATGCCTTCTCTGTCTGTTCATTGCTGGTTAGCGTGGCACTCACCCTCACCACTCTTTTTGGGGCGGAGATTTTTTTAAGGGTAGAGGCGGAAATGCTTACTTGGAGAGGCAGCTCATATGATACTAAGAAGTCATAAATGGCTGTTGTGTTTAAAATGAGTGTTTATGTAATTATTTTCAGTTTACATATCCAATACAAGTTTTATTCGTTCAAGGCAGTCATATTTGTTCATAACTTTATTATTAGTAAGCCTGAGAGTTACCGGATCCAATTCAATTCAATTCAATTCAGTTTATTCATATAACGCCAAATCTTAACAGAAATCTACTCAGGGTAGTGAACAGAAACATTCATATATAAAAATAATAAGTTAACACTATTTATCTGAGGAGCAGACTGCTTTGAATTTAACTTTATCTTGCGCAAGCATGAAGGCGACAGTGAAAAGGAAAAACTCCCTCATGAGGAAGAAACCTTCAGCAGAACCAAGCTCAGGACAAGCAGCCATTTGCTTCTACCAGCTGGGTTTGGTAGGAACACAATGGCAAGTCAAGAATCACATGTTAAGATATAATTAAATAGTATCAAATGAAAACTATTAAATTTTTAACAATTAATTTAAGGAAATTAGGTCAGTTTGCCCTCCAGTAGTCTAAGCTTAAAGCAGCATAACAAGCTAACCCTAATTATAGGATTTATCCAAAAGGGAAGTCTTAAGCCCAGTCTTAAAACTGGACAATGTGTCTGTCATTCAATTTAGACAGGTAAATCCCATTGAACCGCAAGGACTCATTTACAAGAGATACCTGATTTCAACAAACAATGATGACAACAATGGACAACAGCGACAACAATAGACAGTTATAAAAAGGCATACTTTTTTTTATTTTTTTACAAATAAGATGGCAAAAAGAGTAATAAAAACAGCTAGATTTAGTCAGCCTTATGGACAGAAACTGGAAGTTAGTTCCACAAGAGAGGAGCCTGATAAATGAAAGATCTTCCTCCCATTCTGCTTTTGTAAACTCTAGGAACCGTGAGTAAGCCTGCAGTCTGAGAGTAAAGTGCTCTGTTGGGAAAATATGGAACAATAAGATCTCAAATATCAAATGGACCTAGGTTGTTGAGAGTTTTGTAAGTTAGACGTAAGAAGCTAAAACTGGATAGATATGATCTCTCCTACTAACTCCAGTTAAGACTCTTGGCAGCAGCATTTTGGATTAACTGAAGACTTTTTAAAGAACCGGAATGCACCCTTGTCAAAATAGGAGAGTTCCCGGTATTCTGTTCCAGCAGGATCCGGCTGAAATCAAGCACTGATTATGACCAAATGTTTAAAATATAACATAGCACATTATATAGGCCATATGACTTAGTATCTCATAATTATTGTGACTAAGCATTTTATAATGATGACAGCATCATTTGCCTTAGCATTACGTAATTATGACAGCATATTTAAATGACAAGATAGTATCTCATGATAATGAGATACAAAGTGTTTGAGATGGTATGTCATCATTCAATGGGACCAAGATTTTTATTTTATTTTTTTAATCAAAGTGACGGAAATGAGCTTCCATACACGTGCCCCCCCCCCCCCCCCTCGATAGCTCTGCGCTCCTATCCTCGCCTGCATGTGTGACTGTGCTTCTCAGCATACAGTGAATGACTGACTGTCTGTGGCGAGGCGGAGGAAGACACTGGTTCTCTTCTTCTTCTTCTGTTGCTGCTGCGTCGCTCCTCCATTGAGACGACTTCCAGCCGAGGGGTGAGTTTTACTTTGAACGAGTCCGGTCGCCTCGCGCAGCTGTTCGGACTCAGCCGGTGGGACGGTTCGGTGTCTGGTTGTCCCGCACGGTGCGTGTGCATGTGGTGCGTTTGTTGTCCGAATTTAGACGAGCATGGGTCTCTTAGCTTTAAGTGGAAGGTTTCTTATTTGAAGTGGGGGGTGTTAAAGTTGAGGGGGATGGGCACATGATGGGACAGCTCAAACTTTACTTCACAATGGCTTCTTACTTTTCAGTGCTCACCTCTTTTTTTTTTTTTTTTCCCGCACCATACATTCTCTCCTCATCTCTCTCCCGCACTCCTAACTTTAAAAATCTCCGCCCCGTCTCTCCACTAGTAGTGGTCTTTTTTTTTTTAAGTCGCTGATTCGCTTGAAATCTTTTAGCCACTTTCCTCCTCCTCTCCTGTCGCCATGCCGCCGCTCCATCCCTCCGTCTCGCCCCCAGTCGCAGCACATTTCGTGTCCCGGGATGACCTGTTGATGTCGGTTAAAGATGGTGCCAGGACCCGCTGTCGACTCCCACCGTTCCCACTCCTGGCAGCCCTTCTCGGTTAAAATGAACATTTCTGCACGTTCGGAATTGGAGTACAGTCAAAAGTTTGCCATGTTCCCCCTCGTTTCGTGGAGGTGCTCTAAATAATTTATCGTAAAGCGACATCTTGGAGAGGAACAACGACCCCCCGTTAGCTAGCTGCCTTTCGGGCCGGCGGAGGAGGACGGCTGAACGGACATCATGCTGAACGTTATCGACTGTTTTTGTGTCTATTTAATGGCGTTCAGACAAGTTTAAGCGACTGACATTCAAAGGAAAGGACAAGGCGAGCACCCCTCTCTCCTGTTCGTCCCCCTCTTGCCCTCCTCCCGCTGAACTCGCACCGGCCCGGGTCCATCGAGCAACTCCCCAAATCCTACCCGGGCATCGAGGCTGGCACTCGGCCGGGCACCGAGAGCTCTCCGGCCGCCCCCACTGCTCTGCATTCGCTGCTGGCTCGGCTCGTTCTCCCCCCCAGCCGAGGTGTCTACCGGCGAGACGTCGACTCTGCTAGACTTTACATTCATGTAAGATTTATAGATATATAAATGACATGAAAATGCGTTTTTTTTTTTCTTTTTTTTTTCAAGTTTTAATGGTGTCGATCAGGCTACACATTGTGGTGCTCGCGTTTCCACGAGTGTCCGTGAACGCAGCATTTTCATCCGTCCTTACTCAACTTTGCACCGTTTCCACTTTATTTCACATTCGACACTGTCGTGTCGATGGAAAGTGTCTTGTATAAAAAGTTAGCTTTAGCCTGCAGCTCGCTAACATGTCTTAAAACTCGTGTTTAAACTCCCCAAACCAGGAAACTGTAAGAGTAGACAGTGATTGATGTTGATGTCAATGAAATTCATAGTTGCTAACAAGTTGACTCAAAAAACACTGTTACTTTTTTTATTAGCTGGAACATAGTCTATAAAGTAAAGCATCCTTTTAAAGCACTAAACTATGTAAAGAGTGCAGAGGATATACACA